ATATTTGTTAAATATTTATAAGTTAGTAAATACAAAAAAAAAATAAAACAGTTTAAATTAATTAAAAATGTGATTAATAAAAAATAATTCTAAATAGTAATTAAAGGATCGAGTATATAAAAAATGGATGGAGTGACTTTATAAAAAATGCAAATGAAATTTAAATTTTATTGTACTGATTTAAAATTTATTTCACTACATGGCCAACATTAAACATTTTTAATTCGAACAGTTTACATAAAATAACTATAAAATTTACATTCATTACATTCATGAAATATGTGATCGTAAAATAATTTTTTCTTCATAATTTCTAAAACAAAAAGAACGAAAAAAAAAATTTTTTCAAAAAAAATTTATATTTTCAATTTTTATACTTTATTTTACAAATTTCTCTCATTTTGTAGATGCAAAAATTGTTCTAGTTTCAATTTTCAAATTTGTTTCCCGGTTGTAAAGACTTAATCCAAGTGAAAGTATTTTTATATTTTATTTTAAAATTTTTTTTTTTTTTGCAAAATATCGAATTTTTTGAAATAAATTGAACATTTATAGAAAAAAATAATTATTTATCGATAGCATTAGTTAACAAAATATTTTTCGCAATTTGCAATTGCAATAAACTAACAATTAGACACGAATAATTTTATATTATTTTCAGAATTTTAAATTACGTGGATAATAATTAGTAACACGATATATGCAAATTCATGGTTAATTGTTCTATTGATTTATTATTATCACCTCTTTTTCCTCTAATGAATATTTGATAAATTTTCAAATACATTCCCTTTATACGCCTCATAATTAATCGTTCAGAAATCTGTCGATTAATTCATCAATAACAATATGTTTCGACATGCAAATTTCTTGCAGCAAAAAAAAAAAAAAATTGAATTGAACAGAAAAGTGGAACACAATAAATGTTTAAAAAAATAAGTTTACATACAATTTGTAAACAGAAATAAAAATTAAAAAGAAGTAAATATAAAAAATTAATAGAAAAGTAAAGAAAAAATGTTATTTCCATTTTCTTCAATGTGCAGAAAAGAAATAATTATAAAAAAAGTTTATTGAAAATTGAGAAAATGTGTTAGGAATAGTAAATAAAAATTGTTATTATTGACAACATTATTATAAATAATGAGCAGAATGTAAGGAGTAATTAAATGATTATTTGACAGTAATGAGCTTCTAGAATGAATAATTAATAAACTTTTTTCTATTAATTGTTACAAATATTATTAATTGCAATTTTTTATGAAAATGAATAATAAATAAATACATAAATTTATTATTATTATTATTGTTCAAATAATTTTACGTCGGTTTTTTTTTTTTTTTTTTTTAATTGTAATATATGATAATGTATTTAATTATAATATTATTAAAATTTTTCATGAAATTGTACTAAACATAATTAATAACAATTTTCAAAAAATTATTTTAAAAAGTGAGAAAAATTTGAAATTCAATATTTATATTTATCATTGTTATGAATGGTTAATATTTTTATTATTATTTACCTAGTAGAGTCGTAAAAAAATAAAATTTGTTCCATTTTAATAATTTGTTGACATTTAAAGACCTGAATGCGTTATGCAATAGCAAAATAAAAAACAAGTTTCAAATCCTTCTCAACTATGTTTAGTAATTGATGGTCTTTTAACGGATCTTCTTGAGTTGCAATCTTCCCATTGCGTAATTCTCTTTCAACTGAAGTTCAAAGATCTGTAAAATTTTTCAATTGGATAGGTACTTATATTACTGTATTAGATCATTCCTGAAGATTTACAATGAAAAAAAAAAATTATGAGTGGACGATTTGAATGATAAAATTATTACAATTTGAAATAATGGTACTGATAATAATAAAAATAAGAGAATGAAAATTTTTTGATTTTTACGAATTTTAGTTCATAATAATGTAGGGAGAATAACGAAAAATACCGGAGATGAAATTATGAAGAAAAAATTAATGAGATACAATTAAAAAGAATAAAAAATGTAAATAGAAATATATGTGACATAATGTAATAAAATTAACGAAACGAAAACGGAAATATGATACAAATAAGGAAAAGGATAAGGTTTGCATTTTTATTTTTACGAACTTGAAATCGGATTGTTGAAATTTTAAAAAGAATTAAAATAAACGAAAAACTTCCAACAATTAGCATTTATTATTTAAAAAAATTGTAGTGTTTCCAAAAATTGACGAATTTTAAAAATTCCTACGAAATTTGAAAGCTAAATAGATGCAAGTTAAGAAAAAATTATTCTAGTTTGGTTTATTATAAAAATATACAATTATTTAAACAAATGAAAATGAGTTAAAAATTTCTCAAAATTAAAATTTTTTGTAAAAAAATGTAGTTTCTCAAAAAATTGATCAATTTAAAAACTTCCGGTGAATTTTTAAAGCTAAATAGATGCACTATAAGAAAAAATTATTCAAACTCGATTTGGTACAAAAGATATAATTATTTAAACAGATGAAAATCAATTAAAAATTTCTCAAAATTAGAATTTTTTATAAAAAAATGTAGCTTCTCAAAAAATTGGTCAATTTTAAGAATTCCGGTAAATTTTGAAAGCTGAATAGATGCACTTTAAGAAAAAATTATTCAAATTTAAATTATTAAAAAAATATACAAATATTTGAATTGATGAAAATGAAACAAAAATTTCTCAAAATCGACATTTTTTGTAAAAAATGTAGTTTCTCAAAGAATTTATAGATTTTCAGCATTCCAGTAATTTTTGAAAGCTAAATAGATGCACTTTTAGAGAAAATTTTTGAAATATTATTTATTATAAAAATATACAATTATTTGAACAGATAAAAATGAATTAAAAATTTCTCAAAATTGAAATTTTTTATAAAAAATGTAGTTTCTTAAAAAATTGATCAATTTTTAGAATTCCTGTGAATTTTGAAAGCTATATAGATACACTATAAGATAAAATTATTTAAACTCGATTTAGTACAAAAGATATAATTATTTCAACAGATGAAAATCAATTAAAAATTTCTCAAAATTAGAATTTTTTATAAAAAAATGTAGCTTCTCAAAAAATTAGTCAATTTTCAGAATTCCAGTAATTTTTGATAGCTAAATAGAAGCACTTTAAGAAAAAATTATTCAAATTCGATTTATTATAAAAATATACAAATATTTGAACTGATGAAAATAAAACAAAAATTTCTCAAAATCGACATTTTTTGTAAAAAATGTAGTTTCTCAAAGAATTTATAGATTTTCAGAATTCCAGTAATTTTTGAAAGCTAAATAGATTCAGTTTTAGAGAAAATTTTTGAAATATTATTTATTATAAAAATATACAATTATTTGAACAGATAAAAATGAATTAAAAATTTCTCAAAATTGAAATTTTTTATAAAAAATGTAGTTTCTTAAAAAATTAATCAATTTTTAGAATTCCTGTGAATTTTGAAAGCTATATAGATGCACTATAAGATAAAATTATTTAAACTCGATTTAGTACAAAAGATATAATTATTTCAACAGATGAAAATCAATTAAAAATTTCTCAAAATTAGAATTTTTTATAAAAAAATGTAGCTTCTCAAAAAATTAGTCAATTTTCAGAATTCCAGTAATTTTTGATAGCTAAATAGAAGCACTTTAAGAAAAAATTATTTAAATATGATTTATTCTAAAAATATAGAATTATTTGAACAGATGAAAATGAAATAAAAATTTCTTAAAATCGACATTTTTTCTAAAAAATGTAGTTTCTCAAAAAATTCATCAATTTTCAGATGTTCTGTGAATTTTGAAAGTTAAATAGTTGCACTATAAGATAAAATTATTCAAACTCGATTTAGTACAAAAAGATATAATTATTTCAACAGATGAAAATGAATTAAAAATTTTTCAAAATTGAAATTTTTTTTAAAAAAATGTAGCTTTTCAAGAAATTTATCAATTTTCAAAATTCCGGTGAATTTTGAAAGCTAAATAGAAGCAATTTAAGTGAAAATTATTTAAACTCGATTTGGTGCAAAGAATATAATTATTTAAACAGATGAAAATAAATTAAAAATTTCTCAAAATTGAAATTTTTTATAAATAATGTATCTTTTTGAAAAATTGATTAATTTAAAAACTTCCAGTGAATTTTGATAGCTAAATAGAAGCACTTTAAGAAAAAATTATTCAAATATGATTTATTATAATAATATAGAATTATTTGAACACATGAAAATGAAACAAAAATTTCTTAAAATCGACATTTTTTCTAAAAAATGTAGTTTCTCAAAAAATTCATCAATTTTCAGATGTTCTGTGAATTTTGAAAGTTAAATAGTTGCACTATACGAAAAAATTATTCAAACTCGATTTAGTACAAAAGATATAATTATTTCAACAGATAGAAATAAATTAAAAATTTCTCAAAATTGAAATTTTTTTTTAAAAAATGTAGCTTCTCAAGAAATTTATCAATTTTCAAAATTCCGGTGTATTTTGAAAGCTAAATAGAAGCACTTTAAGAGAAAATTATTCAAATATGATTTATTATAAAAATATGCAATTATTTGAACGGATGAAAATGAAACAAAAATTTCTCAAAATCGACATTTTTTGTAAAACAGTCTAGTTTCTTAAAAAATTTGTCAACTTTAAGAATTTCAGTGAATTTTGAAAGTTAAATACCTGTATTTTAAGAGAAAATTATTAAAATATGATTTATTGCAATAAACATAATTATGTGAACAGATGAATATGAGATAAAAATTTCTCAAAATTGACATTTTTTATAAAAAATGGTAGTTTATCAAAAAATTGATCAATTTTCAGAATTCCGGTGAATTTTGAAAGCTAAATAGATGCACTTTAAGAGGAAATTATTCAAACTCGATTTTGTACAAAGGATATAATTATTTAAACAGATGAAATGTAGTAAAAAATATTTTTATAAAATAACAATCTTTGCAAGAATTTATTACAATTTGACACCTCTTCTGTTTTCAGAATTTAAGGCTGTTCTACAAGAGGAGTAATTTTTAAAAGCGAACCTAAAATGAAGCTAAATTCATCAAGGCAACTTCAAATATTATCGTCAACAATGATTCCATGAAGGTGATAATTACAAAGAAACACATGTTGCATTCGAAGAAGCACCATACAGCAAAGTAACTTGACCCTTCTTGGGAAATTCAGTACATCAAACCCCGTCTCAAAAGAGACGATTAATTTCAACAATGTATCAACGATCGATTCTCCTCAATCTTCCCAAGGCCCAGTCAATTGACATCGAATTCGAAAATGTCATCTACACAGTTCAAGTCAGTTTTCGAGGTCCAACTAAACAGATTCTTCAGGGTGTGAGCGGCTGTTTCAAATCGGGGGAATTAACCGCAATTATGGGACCCTCGGGTGCTGGCAAATCTTCGCTTCTTAATATCCTCACGGGTCTGCAGAGAAAAAGAGTGGATGGAAAGGTTTCCTACGTCACTGGCAAAGTGCAACAGTCATGGAGCGATTACAAAAAACAGGCGTGCTACATTCAACAGGACGATCAACTTTATCCTCTATTTACTGTCAATGAAATTATGACAATGTCTGCTGATCTCAAACTTGGACAGAGTCTTAATTCGAAGGGTAAACAGATGGTTATTGATGACATTCTGGATTCACTGGATCTTTCCAAGTGTAAGGAGACAAGGTGTGATCGAATCAGTGGAGGACAGCGAAAGAGACTTAGCATTGCTCTTGAACTCGTCGATAATCCACCGGTGGTTTTTTTGGATGAGCCAACAACAGGTAGAAATTATTATTGATTGGACTTTTCGTTACAGTGTAATAATTATAATTAGTGTAATCCTTCCAATTAGTGACCATAATTCTTTCTATTACAATTTGTCCCTTCTTCTGATTAGGCACGACGTAAAACCTATCTTTAGGTACCCCAATTTTTCTACTTCTTATTTCCCTAGGTAGGTTTCAAAAACTGCGAGCTTCCTCTATTATTTTTTAGGTCCTAGGATCTTCATCTCCTGCCTCTTGGCAAACTTTACTATGGAAAAACGTCACACTGAATAACATGACCTTAAGAAAAGACAGACTTCCTGTCTTTCCTTGGACTTCGTCTTCCTGGGTAAGGCAATCCAGATAGCGGATTTTCAGAGAGAGTCTACGATCCACCGACTGTAGGTTTCCCATCATTCCAAGCACTAGAATGTCCTCAGTTTGCTGTCGACCGGACTCGAGGCTTTCCTCTAGGCCAACCGTAAACATTCACTCTTCCATTCTGACATTCCTTATTGAGATCTTTTTTGGGGACGTGGCTACTCTCAGTAGTACCATTTTTCGACACCGCGTTAAAAAGCCACTGCTTCAATTACTGTTCTTCCGTCTGCCTCTCCTTCGTATGATGACTTACGTACCCTTATCAGAGAGGAGCTACAATTTGTTCGAGACTCTTTTTCTTTTGAATTACGCAATTTAAACACCACCATTTTGAATTTGTTCGAAACTCTTTTTCTTTCGAATTACGCAATTTAAACACCACCATTTTAAATTTAGCTACTTAACTGAAAGTAGTCAACAAAATTTCTCCAAATTGAAATTTTTTTATAAAGAATGCAGTTTCTTAAAAAATTGATGAATTTTCAGAATTCCGGTAAATTTTAAAAGTTAAATAGATGCACTTTAAGAGAAAATTATACAAATTTGATTTATTACAAAAATATACAATTATTTGAACAGATGAAATTGAGACAAAAATTTCTCAAAACTGACATTTTCTTTAAAAATTCTAGTTTCTCAAAAAAATTGATCAATTTAAAAAGTTTTAGTGAATTTTAAAAGCTAAATAGATGCACTATCAGAGAAAATTATTCAAACTCGATTTGGTACAAAAGTTAAAATTATTTGAACATATGAAAATTAATTAAAAATTTCTCAATATTGAAATTTCTTATAAAAAAATGTAGCTTCTCAAAAAATTGATCAATTTTCAGAATTTCTGTGAATTTTGAAAGCTAAATAAATGGACTATAAGAGAAAATTATTCAAACTCAATTTGGTGCAAAAGTTATAATTATTTCAACATATGAAAATTAATTAAAAATTTCTCAATATTGAAATTTTTTATAAAAAATGTAGTTTCTCAAAAACTTAATGAATTTAAAAATTTCCGGTGAATTTTTAATGCTAAATAGATGCAATTAAGGAAAAAATTATTTAAGTTTGATTGATTATAAAAATATACAATTATTTGAACTGATGAAAATGAATTAAAAATTTCTCAAAATCAACATTTTTTGCAAGAAATGTAGTTTCTCTGAAAATTGATCAATTTTAAAACTTCGAGTGAATTTTGAAAGCTAAATAGATGCACTTTTAGAGAAAATTATTAAAATATGACTTATTATAAAAATATATAATTATTTGAACAGATGAAAATGAATTAAAAATTTCTCAAAATCAACATTTCTTGCAAGAAATGTAGTTTCTCCAAAAATTGATCAATTCAAAAATTTCTAGCGAATTCTTAAAGCTAAATAGATGCAATTTAAGAAAAAATTATTTAAATTTGATTGATTATAAAAATATACAATTATTTGAACTGATGAAAATGAATTAAAAATTTCTCAAAATCAACATTTTTTACAAGAAATATAGTTTCTCCAAAAATTTATCAATTTTAAAACTTCGAGTGAATTTTGAAAGCTAAATAGATGCACTGTAAGAGAAAATTATTTAAATATGAGTTTTTATCAAAATAGACAGTTTTTTGAACAGTTGAAAATAGAACAAAAATTTATCAAAATTGAAATTTCTTATAAAAAAATGTAGCTTCTGAAAAAATTGATTAATTTTCTGAATTCCAGTAAATTTTGAACGCTACATAGATGCACTGTGAGAAAAAATTATTTAAGTATAAATTATTATAAAAATATACAATTATTTGAACAGATGAAAATGAAACAAAAATTTCTCAAAATTGACATTTACTTTAAAAAATGTAGTTTTTCAAAAAATTGATCAATTTTCAGAATTCCGGTAAACTTTGAAAGCTAAATAGATGCACTGTAAGAGAAAATTATTTAAATATGAGTTATTATAAAAATAAACAGTTTTTTGAACAGATGAAAATGAAACAAAAATTTGTCAAAATTGACATTTTCTATAAAAATTGTAGTTTCTCAACATATTGACCAATTTAAAAACTTTTGGTGAATTTTGAAAGCAAAATAGATACACTATAAGAGAAAATTATTCCAACTCGATTTCGTACCAAAGTTATAATTATTTCAACATTTTAAAACTAACTAAAAATTTCTCAATATTGATATTTTTTATAAAAAATGTAGTTTCTCAAAAAGTTGATCAATTTTTAGAATTCTGGTAATTTTTGACAGCTAAATAGTTGCACTGTAAGAGAAAATTATTTAAATATGAGTTATTATAAAAATAGACAGTTTTTTGAACAGATGAAAATGAAACAAAAATTTTTCAAAATTGACATTTTGTATAAAAAATGTAGTTACTCAAGAAATTAATTAATTTTCTGAATTCCAGTAAATTTTGAACGCTACATAGATGCACTGTAAGAAAAAATTATTTAAGTATAAATTATTATAAAAATATACAATTATTTGAACAGGTGAAAATGAAACAAAAATTTCTCAAAATTGACATTTACTTTAAAAAATGTAGTTTTTCAAAAAATTGATCAATTTTTAGAGTTCGGGTGAATTTTGAAAGCTAAATAGATGCACTGTAAGAGAAAATTATTTAAATATGAGTTATTATAAAAATAGAGAGTTTTTTGAACAGATGAAAATGAAACAAAAATTTGTCAAAATTGACATTTTGTATAAAAATTGTAGTTTCTCAAAATATTGACCAATTTAAAAACTTTTGGTGAATTTTGAAAGCAAAATAGATACACTATAAGAGAAAATTATTCCAATTCGATTTCGTACAAAAGTTATAATTATTTCAACATTTTAAAATTAACTAAAAATTTCTCAATATTGAGATTTTTTATAAAAAATGTAGTTTCTCAAAAAATTGATCAATTTAAAAACTTTTGGTGAATTTTGAAAGCTAAATAGTTGGAGGTTAAGAAAAAAGTATTCTAATTTTGTTTATTATAGAAGTATATAATTATTTGAAGGGATGAAAATGGAACAAAAATTTCTTATAATTGACATTTTTTATAAAACGATGTTATTAATTTAAAAAGAATTTTAGGAAAGGTGTCCTTGCCACTAGACAATATTGGAATTAGAATTTTTCTCTAGATGTTTATGTAGGTTATTATTTTTAATTTCCTAATGTAGGTAATTAATTTAGAAAATATTTTAGGAAAGGTATCCTTGCCACTAGATCATACCGTAATTAGAATTATTCTCTAGATGTTTATGTAGATCATATCTAGGTCACTGAACTGATAAATCCGAGAAGATGTATTCTTGCCACTATAGAACATACCAGAATCAAAATCTATAATTACTGTTAGGTACTCTTGATACTGGAGCATACCGGAATTCCCTCGCTGCTAACTTTAAAAAACCCTACGACTAATATAATTATTCGTTACAATCGAATATTTCAGAAAATTCCTGGAACGTCCTGAGGATATCCATTTGCTTGCGGCGATTGCAGGAAGCAAATGCTTTCTGCAATCGCCGCAAGCAAATGGATATCCTCAGGACGTTCCAGTAATTTTCTAAATATCCTAAAAATCTCTTGAACCCGATTACAGGTCTTGATTCCCTGGCATCAATGCAATGCGTCTCGGTGCTGAAGAATCTAGCCAGAGGAGGAAGAACCGTCGTCTGTACCATTCACCAACCTAGTGCTGCAATCTACGACATGTTCGACCACGTGTACATGTTAGCGGACGGACTCTGCATGTTCCAGGGAGCAGCAGTAAACACAGTGTCCTACCTCAGCAGACTTGGACTCAACTGTCCTAAATACCACAACCCCGCCGATTATGTAATCGAAGTCATTTCCTACGAATACGGAGACTTTAAAAATCAGCTAACAGTCGCGGCTAGCGATTCCTCCTGGAGATTTGTAGCTCCGCCGAAATTAGACAAATTCACCGCCGAAGAAGAGAGAAGAATCAACAACGACGGGAAGACCACAGTCCTCATAACGTCACCGTCAGAAATCATCAGATTGAGAGTTCTTGTCAAAAGATGCTGCATACAGCTCTACCGCGACTGGACAACAACTCACCTTAAACTTTTGCTCCATTTCCTTGTGGGTATTCTCCTTGGACTGAAATTCACCGATTGTGGCTCTGACGGCTCCAAGACATTCAGCAACGTTGGATTCCTCATTATCACCACGGTTTATCTCTGCTACACCAGTATGATGCCGGCTGTACTTAAATTCCCCTCGGAGCTTCTTGTCCTGCGGAAGGAGCACTTCAACAATTGGTACAAACTGCGGACCTACTATTTGGCATTCATCATGACAAATATGCCAGTACAGGCGTTTTTCGCCACGGTCTACAGTGCGGTCTCGTACTATCTCTCGAGTCAACCTCTCGAGTGGTTTCGTTTTCTGATGTTCACCAGCAGCGCAATTCTCACGACAATCATAGCCGAAGCAATGGGTCTACTATTGGGTACAACCCTAAATCCCGTGAATGGCACATTCCTAGGAGCAATTACCGTGTGTACGATGTTAATTTTCGCCGGATTTTTGGTACTTTATACACATATGAGTCATTTTTGGTATATGGTGAGTTTTCTGAGTTATTTGAGGTACTCAATGGAGGCGATGGTTTCGGCTCTCTACGGCTATGGTAGAGAGAAAATGACCTGCCCTGACATCTATTGCCATTATCGAGCACCACAGACGCTGATCGATGAACTCGGAATGAATGGCGAGGGTTTTTGGTTCGACGTCACTGTTCTTGGAGTTAATACATTTCTTCTTCAGCTAATCGCCTATTATACACTGAGAAGAAAAATTAGCAGTTTCTAAATATTTTTCACTTGCCATTTCAAAAGGAAAAGCCGCATCATGACACAATCTTAGTGGAAAAATCTCTTAATCCAAGAACAAGCAGTATTTTTTGTTCATTTTTAGGCTCTGCGCAAAAAACCTGCGCAAAGAATTAGTTTTATAACCTTGAAAATCTGTTAAAAGCCACTAAAAATTCGTTTTTATTTACTTTCTCTCAACTTGGAAGTGAACAAAAAATAGAAATTGGATGGTTAATAGTATAAAGTGAACGATAAACAAAGACTGATCGATTTGTGTAAAAAAAATATGAAGAATTTGAAAAAATCAACTTTTTAAGGTTAAGAATTGCTTCGCGAACGTAAGAGCAGAAAAGGACACAGATATATTTGTGTCTTTTACCGACCAATGGTTAAGTAGTCTGAAAAAAAATAATCCGAAGATTTATTGTTTTATTTAAATTGTAGTTCTACAAAACTACTTTTCACAAAATTATTACATTCGTATTTTTTAAAATATACAAAAATTGTGTGCAAAATTAAGTGCAAAAATTGTGAATCTGCATTAAAAATGAAAATGGTACTTTAACGACAATCGGTAAAGTAGATTTTCTTTAAACAGAAAACATTTTTGTAGAATAAAAACTGAATTATACAAAACGGAAAAAATGTTGTTAATGACAAATTTTACCAACTGTTTGAATTTTACGAATTTCTATTATTTTTCAAAGGCTAGACAATAATTATTCGAAAAATAAATTTGTTGTAAATTTTCAGTAAATTTTTGTCTTATAGAGCATGGCCTTAAAACTTCTCGTAAAAAATTAAAAAATATAAATTCAAATAAATATAAATAAATATATTTATCTACTTTAAAATTTTTAACGCCAAAACTCGTGTAGAAAAATTTCTTGGCGCTAGCTAGCAGTGCTAGATACATGGTAAATTTACATGCAGTCTAGCGCTGCTAGCTAGCGCCACGAAATTTTTCTACACGGGATAATTTAAAACTAAAAATTGTCTCTCAAAAATATTTTTTTTTTTTATAAAAACAAATTTTCGAAAAATTCAAAGTTGTAAAAACAGTCAGAATTTAAAAAATGTATTATAACTTAATAATTTAATTTTCCATTGAGTAAAATATTTTTTTTAATTTTGAATTCCGAACTTATTTAGAAACTAAAAAAAATTCTATAATTAGGAAAATAATTCGGATTTTACAAAAAAAAAAGAAACTGTAAAAATTGGTAATAAATAATAAAATTTTTAATTTGCAATTTTTTGAAAAAATGAAAATATGAATATTTGTTAATTAATAAGAAAAAAAAATATTTAAAAAAATATTTTTTAATAGAGAAAACATGGATAGTATTTATTGTTGGTGTAATTTTTCGCTTCTTATAAATTAGTTTATAAATTATATTAAAGAAAAAAATACTAATTAATTATTTTAAAGTATTTTTTTCATCCACATTCCTTCTTTTTTCTATAGAGAAAAAAAAAAAAAAAAAAAAAAAAAAATGTAATGGATTTGTATACAAATCCATTAAAAATTCCACTTTGTTTCTTTAATATTTATTTCTCTCTTTTTTTGCAAATTCTTATCGTACCCATCAATCTTTATTGTTTTAACATATTCACTCTATAAGAATAAATTTTTATTATTTATCCATGACCGCATTTGACATTTTTTTAATTCTCCTCCTGGTCATTTACTTTGTTTATAAAAATTCTTTTTTAATTCGAAAACTGGATTTCTTAATCTTATTGTATTTTTTTATTGTTTTATTTACTTTTTTTTTGAAGCCTTCATATTTTATTCTCAATGATTGTAAATTGTCTTTTACAGAAGAAAAACAAGTGGTCCAGGGTCGGTGAGTTTTCTTCTATAATTGCAGAAAGATTTATAAAAATCAAGTTTAATAGGATGTCAAATTGAAATGACAAAATCGTCTCAGAAGACGGTGATAAAATATAATTAAATAATTCCCTGACATTTGCGGCGACAATGCCAAGGTTGCAGGGGAAAAAATCGTCAGGAGTTTTTTTTTTAAAGGAAATAAAAAATATTTTGTTATTTGAAATTTTATTTTTATAAATAAATAAAATTAAAAAAAGGACCAAAAAAAATTTCCTCTCAGAGAACGAATGCTACAAAAAATTTTAAATAAAATGAAATCTTAAAAATTTTATTTCCTTCTAATTTGTAAATTAAACTTTTTATTAAACTTATATTTCGAAAAGTACCTATTTTACATATTTTAAATAATTTACGAATAAAAAAAAGATTCTTCTCTCGGCAATAAAATTTTCTTTAACAACTCGCATTGTTTCTAAAGTTATTGTTGGTTTTTTTTTTTTTTATTTTATTTATATAAAGATTTCTTTAAATTATAATGAAAATTACCACAACAATAAAATGTTTAAAAGGTCAGAAGCTATGCGATAAATTTTAAAATATACAATTCATCAATAATCATCAAAAATTTGTATTCGTTTAAAAATAATAAAAAATTGACCTTCACCTGAATTTTCTAAATAAAAAAAGTTTTTTTACATTTAAAAACTTTTAACGTCTTAAATTATTACAAATTCAGAAAAAACGCTTTCTCAAAAATTGAACCTTTTGTTTTTAAATTAAAATAAAAATAAGTTATAAAATAATAAATATAAAAAAATGAAATTTAATAAAAAATTAATAGGTAAATAAACAATTTATTACAATTTAATTATTAATAATTTCAATAAACCAATGAAACATTAAAAATTACAAAGTTAAAAATAATTAAATTAAAAAGTTTAAAAAATGTTAAAAGAGAAAAATGTTAGTGTCAAAGATTTTTATGAAAATAAATTATAAAATTAAAACTAAATACTAAAAATTACAAATGGTAGTATATATAAATTGATAGAAATTTATTTTATGCAAAAGTAATGATTCATTTACACTTTTTATAAACAAAAAAATTTTTTTAAAAGTATTTATAAATTAAAAAAAAATTATTTCTTCAACACTACTATTTTATTTTGAGGAAGTTTTTTTTATTTTAAGGAAACTTGAATGAAAAAATTAATGAAAAACAACGAAATTTGTATAAAAATGGCACATTTATTATGTTATTATTAGTGATAATAGTCATTAAATGGCAATGAAACAATTTCTCTCAAAATCCATTTTAATTTCGCTCTCGCAATTTATAATAATAATTATAATAATAATAACGTGCACCTTTTATGCGCCATCAAAAGTTTTCTATATCGCAGTTTTTAATTCTCTCAATATCTATATATCAATATTACAATGTACATCTAAATATCTAATTTCAAAAAAAAAGAGAAAAAAAAATCGCGACTTTTTTCAAACGCAAGGAAAAATTTTCATCTTCCCACAATTTTGTTTATTTTACATTTTTTTCCTTTTTTTCTTATAAATATTCTCCATATTTTTTTCTTTCTTCTTTACAAATAAAATATTTTTTTATTACACAAAAAAAGCCAAATTTATTTAAATTTAAAAAAAAATAGCGATGCGTATAAACTTTTTTCTTTTCTTCCACATATTTTTTCGCATCGAGAAAAAAAAATATAATCACATCGCAAAAAAATGGGAAAATTTTTTCGAAAGAAAAACGCTTGAGATCATATTCATATATAAAGTAATTTTATAAAATATATTTTTAATCCTAAAATTAGAGAACTAAAAAAATAATTTGCTAAAAAATTAAAACATTTAAAACGTTTACAAAACTCTCCCTTTGTGGCTAAATAGCAAAAAAAAAAATTCGTGAAAAAACAAATGCTTTTGAATAAAAATATAGCTAATATTGGGGATTTAGGAAAAATATGACGAAAAATTCTATTTTTTTTTTATCAATAAAATTTATTTAAGAATCTAAATAAATTAAAATACATGGCAACTGGGTACACATCGTTGAGCTATATTTTTGTTCAAAAACAAAAATTTCCTTTCTTTCTTTCTCATGGATTTCTTTTTTCTCCACTTTTGCGAGTGATTTCACAATCGTTGACAATAGTTAATTGTGGTAATAATAATTAATAATAATAATAATTATAATAATTATTAAAAATAATAATTTATTAATAATAATAATAATAATTATAATTATTATTAATAATAATAATTAATAATTAATAATAATAATTATAATAATTATAATAATTATTAACAATTATTAATAATAATAATTAATAATTAATAATATAATAATATAATAATAATAATAATATAATAATAATAATTAATAATAATAATAATAATTAATAATATAATAATAATAATTAATAATAATAATATAATAAAAATGATCGATGACAGCAATAATAATAATAATGATCGATGTCAGTAATAATAATAAATCGCCAGCATAATAATAATAATAATAATCGTAGTTAGGGTAATTGAATAGGCATGCGTCGCTGATCTATTATTTACAATTATGCGCCAGATATGTCTGGAAACGTTCCGCAATATACAATAAAAAAAAAAGTCGGAAACGTTTCGCTCGCCTTATTTATACGACGATCACTACATTTTATTTATTGTGGTTTTTTTTTATTTTCAGATCCTCATTGATAAAAATTCTTCATTCAATTTTTCGATTCTAAACATAAGAAATTTTCTCCCACTATTTTATTTTTTTCAGCTTTCTTCTTCTTCTTCAATTTTTATTAAAATTCTTTTTTTCTGAGTATTTAGTAAAAAATAAACTTTAAAAATAGGAAAAATAAATTTTTTTTTCTTCTTCCAATTTCATTTCTTTGTTACGAAGAAAGAAAAATTACCGAGTTTCCGAATTAATAAATAAAATAAAAATTATTTTATGGAATAATATTTTAATTAAAAAAATTTTACTTTTGTAAAATTCTCTTTTTGTGTGAAACAAAATTTTACGTTTGTAAAATTTTCTTCTTGTGTGAAAAAAAATTTTACGTTTGTAAAATTCTCTTCTTGTGTGAAAAAAAATTTTACGTTTGTAAAATTCTCTTCTTGTGTGAAACAATATTTTACGTTTGTAAAATTATCTGTTTGTGTAGGAAAAAAATTTTTACATCTGTAAAATTTTTCTTGGGTGAAAGAAAATTTCCTGGTTGTTTTTAAAAAAAAGAAAGTAGACTTAATTTCGTTTTTTTTTTGGAAATGGCGACAAATCGAGTGAAATTACTACAAAAAATTAAATATATGTTTTTTTAGAGAAAAAATAAAAAAATTCGAAGTAAAGTTTACTCAAAAAATGTGAATAAAATCTGTGTACACGTTGAAAAGAGGAAAAAATTATCTAAGGGGAGGAGAAACGTATAAAAATCTTATTCACTATTTTTTTTTTGCGCTCTAAATTTGTAAAATTAAAAAAACGAAATTGAAATCAAATTTAAAGCGTTAACACATTCAACGAGCAGAAATATCATTGACTTTCGAAGTTAATGAAAATTTTACTATTTTATTTTACACATAAACTTTTTAATGATAATTTTCTTTTTTACTCTTTGATTTTCTTTTTATCTTTGAAATTTTCATTTTTAAATCCCATTAGAATTTATTCGTTTAGAATAAATTCTCCTTTTGGGGTAAAATTTAAAATTTTCGTCGTTAAAATTTTCGTTTCTTAAAATTTGAATCAAATTCTAGTATTTAAATAAATAATTTTAATAAATAATTTATATAAAATAAATGATAGAATTTTCTTCAAATTTTAACTAACGACAATAATTTTAACGAAGATTTAGAAAAGAAACTGTTTTTCTTTTTTAAAGTTTTAGTCGATTTTTAAAAATCAAATTCAAAAACTAAATTATTTAAAAAAATAATTTATTAAATTATTTTTAAATAAGAGTAATATTTTATTTATTTTAAAAAATAATTTAGTTAATTTAGTAAAATTGCTAATTTTTTAAAAATTAATTATTTCTTCTTTAATTAAAAAAAGAATTTTGAAAATTTAAGAATTTTGACATTCAATTCTAAAAAAATATAAAAAGTTTTATTCGGTTTGTAAGAATTTAAAAATTTTCAAAACAAAAATTTATTTAAGTACTTGATTTTTAGAAGCTTTTTTCTTTAAAAAAAATTGTTATTTATTTATTTACGAACATTGTTATAAATAAAAAAATAATTTAAAATCCGGTTTTTTCCAAAACGTTTGAAATAATTTTTAAAAATCGTAAAATTTTTAAAATTATTTCAAAATTACAAGAATTTTCTCTTTTTTAACCTTTTTTTTAAAGCTATTTTTTCAAAAAAATTAAATTAATTAATTTCTTAAATTAAATTTAATATATTTAAAAATATTTAAAATATTTAAAATTTAAATTTTAAATATTTAAAAAATATATTTCAAATATATTATAAACATATTTTTAAAATTAGTCGATTTTTTTTTAAAATATTGCCCTATTTTCAATAATTTGGAAAGAAAAATCAATAAATTTTACTCGATTTTGAAAATAGTTGTTGCTAAACAAATTTTTCGTAGAAAAAAACAGTTAATTTTTTATAATTCTCTAATAAATTTAGAATTTTTATGTTATATTTTTCGAAACATTTTTAAATCTATTTTTAAATGCATTTTTAAATATATTTTTAAATGTTTTTTAATTCTATTTTTGAATATATTTTAAAATCTGTTTTTAAATATATTTCTAAAAAAAAATAATTCTCAACTTTTTGTAAAACAAATTTCGATCAACTTTTCCTATTAGTAAATTTCACATCAATAAATTTACTTTGACAGTAAAATTTCCTGAGTGTAAAATAATTAAAAATAAATGAAAAAAAAATAAAAATAATAATTTAAAAAAAAACAAGATTTTTACTTTTAAAATTTTATTTTAAAATTTTACATATCATTATTAAAAACGTTGATATTTAATTTATATTTTTTTGATTTTTTAATATAAAAAGGAAAATTTCTTCGAGAGTCAATAATAAAATCCTCTTTATTAATTGGAATCAGTTCACGCTCGAAATTAAAAAAAATAAAAAAAAACGCTTATTCAAAAATTAAGTGTACTTTTTCATAAATGTGAAGAATCGCAAAAAAAAGGTTGAATTTCCTAGTCGAGTAGAGAATAATAATGATAATAATAATAATGATAATATACTCTATAATATGATATTTAAAAAAAAGATGAAGAAGAAAGTGAGAGTAAACTGAAATCTAAAAAAAAATGAGTCGCGCTATTTTATCTCGAAAGAGGAACCATATTTTTAGTCTCTCGCACTATTTATAAAAATAATTTGAAGCCGCTGCTGCTGCTGCACTTTTACAATTAAGCACAGTACAGTATTATTATTTTTTTCCGTATGTATATCATCATATTTTTTTTTTATTCTTTATCAACCGAGTCGACTAATTAATATGCTTCTGTTTTACAAACTATACCGCAAAAAAAATTGTCTTCGTCTTTGTCGTGGATCCTCGAGTTTTTGAAAAACGCTTTTTTTGCCTCGAGGCTTTGTTTTTCGATTTGCACATTACAATTATCTTTATAATCTTTATAATTATTATTATTACAATCGTGCGCGTCTTTCGCAGGTTTCGCCTAAAAAATTATCTTCTCTCTGCACTTCGAATGTCTAAATAAAAAATTGCCATATACATTCAGTAGTATTTTTTTCACACGAGGAATTCCTGCGGAAACGCGCAAAATGAAACAGGAATTTTTATCCTTTTTCATTTTTTCTCTCTTAAAAGATCGATTTTCCTTTAGCGATGGGAATAAAGAATTTATAAAAATAGATACTTAATGTTATTATTCAAAATGTTTTTCCTTTTTTGTCGCTGTGCGTAAAAAAATAAAAATCATATCACATATGATGGAAAAAATTCGGTTAATCAAATAATACGAAAATATTTATTGTTAATAATTTTCTTTTAAGGAAGAATTCTTCTTCCTTTGATAATATTTATCGTTATATATTTAATAATAATAATAATTACCACATTATTTAGTAATAATATTTATTAATTATTATATATTAACAGAAAAATATAAAGGAAATAAAATTTCTGAACAGAAACAAAGTCCCATCGCTAAAAGAAATTTTTTTGTCCATGTCATTATTTTTGATATGTCCCAAAAAAAAAAATGAGAAAAAATAAAAGAAGGAAACGTGTTAATTTCGATTTTTTTTACGAATAATACTTATTTATTGTCATTTGATGCCGGTTCGGTAATCACGCGAGATTCAACATTCCAACGAAATTTACACTAATTTTTCTTTTTTTTAAAAACGACATTCTTTCTCTTGACTTTTCATTTAATGTCAATTTTTTTTTCTCTCTTTCTCTCTCGCATGCACACTCTCGCGCCTTGCCGGAACACAATGAAGAGGGGGGGGGATGAAACCACCGACACATCACAAAAAACTGATTTTCAACTCAATGTACAAGAATCTTTTTTTTTTTTGGCCTCGGTGGCATTTTTTTTCTTTTAGAGGGGAAAGAGTAAGTGTCCTTTTTGCTATGCTTTACATATGTATACTCACATATATATTTTTTTTATTTATCTATATATATATGCATTCTTCTTGCCGTTTATATATATTTTTTTTCTGTTATATATATAAAATGCAATAATTCCTCGTTTTTTTTTCATTTTCTTTTCTTTTTTTCGCCGAGAAGAAGGCAGGAGTTTTTTCCAGAAAAAAAGATATATGTTTTTTTTTAAACTCTGGCCACGTCGAGAGTTCTGTACAGGCTGCAACTGGACCTGACGCACACGAATTTTTTTTAACACAGAATAACGCCACTAACGAGCCGCTGCTACTGCGGTTGCGACGAGTTGTGCTGAAGAGAAGGTGGCGGACCCTGAAAAATAAAATACGATAAATAATTAAAATGTCTTTCTTTATTTTTCTATCAATGCTTTTGAAAACAAAAAATTGAGATGAGGGTTTAAAAAGAATTTATTTAAGGGGATTTTAGAAAAAAAAGAATTTTAATGAATTTTTATTTTGAGAAAATATTTAAATAGCGGAAAGAATTTTAATAAAATGAGAATTATAATGAAACCAGATGAAAATTAAAATTATAGTCAAATTCAATTAAAAATTAAATTCGAATTCGGTTATAAAATAAAATTAAAATTAAAGGCAAATTTAGTTAAAATTAAATTAAAATTGAAGTCGAATTCAGTTAAAATTAAATTCGAATTCAATTAAAATTGAAATTAAATTAAAAATAAAGTCGAATTCAGTTAAAATTAAATTAAAATTAAAGTCGAATTCAATTAAAATCGAAACTGTAATTTGATTAAATATTAATTATATTTATTTATTTATATATTTATATTGTAATTTCTCGAAAAGATTCAAATTATTTTTAAAACTTTTACTAACTTTTTTTTTGAAATAATTCAATTACTTTGAATACAATTTTAATAAAATTTCTCGAAAAGATTAAAATAATTATAAAAAATTTAATAAAAAAAGAATTGAAAGAAAGAATTGAATTTTTTTCAAAAGTTTTTATCAAAATTTTCTATGAAAATTCCATTAATTTTTTAATACAATTTTAATAAAATTCATCGAAAGAATTAAATTTTGTTCCAAATTTCATATAAATTTCATGGAACAGAAGTAATTCAATTATTTGCAAGAATTCTAATAAAATTCATCGAAAGAATTCAATTTTATTTCATAAACAATAAATTTTTTCGAATGAATTTAATTATTTTTAGTACAATTTTTAAAAAATTTCTCGAAATAATTGAAATATTCTGAAAAATTGTAAGAAAATTCAGGGAAAAATTCAATTATTATTATTTTCATCTTATTTTTTATAAAAATTTTCATCTTATTCTTTATGAGAATTTTAATTTTATTCTTTATGAAAATTTTTTTATTTATTTTCACTACATTAATTTTATGAGAAAAAAAAGAAAAATTATTTTAGAATTTCGGGAACAAAAGAAAGAAAATTATGTTGAATGAAAATTTCGTTTACATTAAAATTCTATTAAATATGAATATAAATATGAAAATTTTAAAATAATTTAAATTTAGTTGATGATAAAAAAAAAAAATTTTTTAAATGAAAAAGTTAATTTAAATTGAATAAAGAGAAGAATTTTTTCAAAAAAAAAATCTCCTGTAAGCAAAAGCATTTCCGCATTAACCGTAAGCAAAAAAAAAAGTTACGAAAAAAAAGACTTTAATGGAAGAGGAGAAAAAATTGAAATAAGACTTTAGAAAAAAAACTCTTAGTAAATTAAGGTAAAAAAAAAATTAATTTTTTTTTTCACCTTCAATGAAATGAATAAGATGGAGGAAAAAAAGAAATATAAGTATACTAACCGGCATCGCAGGGAAGGGAGCTTGAGAATGTGGATGCGGATGTGGATGTGGATGACCTATATGCGCTGCCAGATGTCCCGGTAATTTCGGTCCATCTTCCGCTTTTTCTTCTTCTCTCCTTTTTAAGCACGCTGCCTTTGGATTAAGATTTCGTTCTGCAAAGCAATCACAATAAATTAACCCTCATTTTCGCAAAAAAAAAAAAATAAATTACAAGTTTTTTTCTATGTAAAAAAAAAAAAAAAAAATAATAATAATAATAATAATAATAATATAAGCCCGTTTATATACTAAATAAACAAATAATAATTTAACAATAATGTAATTTTTTTTTTTTTTTTTTTTTTTTTTTTTTTAATAATTTAATGAAAAATAACATTTTAATAATAATTATTAAATATTATTAATAACCTTAATTATGTAAATAATAATATTTCACATTGTATTTATTTATTCATTGAACATAAAAAAAATTTTTTTATTTTAAAAAAATTTTTAAAAATGGACCGATTTGTGAAAGAAAATGATAAAAAGGTTAAAAAACGCAGGAGAAATAATGAATGAATGAAATTTTTACCTCTGACTTGTTGCTCTAATGTCATAATGACTTCGACGGCCATGTTGAGAATTCCTAGTTTGGTTTGAGGTTTATCCGTCTTCAGGTGCGTCATACACATCCTGCCGAGCTCCTTCAATGCTTCATTTATATCTCTAATACGTATCCTGTTAAAAATTTTCTTAAATTATTCTCCATTTTCTCCTTCATTTAAAAATTAGAAAAATAATTAACTTCTAGTTTGTAAAGAAACAAATTATTCTCAATAAAAAATCTTTCAATTTTTAATTACTAATTAAATGGGTACTAAATACTAAACTTCTAGTTTAGTTTTTATTATTCTCAATAAAAAATCTTTCAATTTTTAATTACTAATTAAATGGGTACTAAATACTAAACTTCTAGTTTGGAAAAAAATTATTCTCAATGAAATATCTTTCAATTTTTAATTACTAAATACTAAACTTCTAATTAAAAAAAATTATTCTCAAAAAAATATTTTTCAATTTTTAATTACTAATTTAATTCTAAACATTTATAATAAATAAACAATAATTATCTAGTTGATTAAATCAATCACATTAACAAAAATAAAAATTAATAATAAAAATAAGTACAAAAACTATAAATTCTTGATTATTTACAATAAAAATACTAAAATAGCTCTAAATTATTTATTACTTAATTAATTATTTAAAATACTTTAGTATATTTATAATTTATTTATATTTATTTTATTTTTAAATAACTATAAATTATTTAATATTTAAAATAATTTATTTAAAATTAAAATATTTGAATTTAATTTATTTTCTTAATTTCATAATTTATTATAAATAAATTATTGTAAATAACAATTTTTTACATAATATGTATAAATTGTTAATAATTAATAATTCTTTTAACTTTTCTTTAAAAAAAATGTATAAATACCGTAAAAATATTATAAATGAAAAAAGAATTAATTATAATTTTCATAACGTGAAAATTAAAAATTTTTTTTTTTGAAAAATTATTTTTTAAAAAAGAAGAAAAAGAGAGAAGAGATGAATAAAAAAGATAATAGAATGAAAAGAATAAAATAAGGGTTTTTGAATGAGAGAAAGAACAGGAATTCTGTTTTTTTTTAAATTCGTATATTAAATTTTTTTTTTCGTAGAATACGGGCCAACGAATAAATTTTCGCGCAGAAAAAAAAGAAAAAGAAATTTAAGAAGAGCAAAAAAAAAAAAAAAATGTTGATTAATCTCGCGCTCGGTAAATTATTTTTTTTTTCTTTCGGACCTTTCTAATTGAATCCTTACCTTTCCCTAGCATTATTTGTCTGTCGTCTTTCTTTTTCCCTCTGAGCCTTTGTTGAAGGATCATCGTCTTCGTCTTCGGCGCTTGAACAATATTTGCGCAATAACAAATGCTCGATTAATCACCGGGTTTACAACACATAATTCATCTACACTAAAAATCGGACCACTCAACAAAAAAACAGAAATTTCAAAAAAATATTTTAAAATTTCAAAAAAAAATTATTTATTTTTACTCTTTTTTCAATTATTTTTGATTTTTTCTCTCATTTTATTTTTTCTGAGCTTTTTCAATTTTATAATAAAAAATAAGAAAGTAAAACAAATTTTTCATATTTGGAAAAGAAAACTTATTATTTTGAAGGTAAGCATATTTTTTAAGTATAAAATTTTGAATTGTTGAATGTAAATTAAAAAAAAAAAAAAAAAAAAAAAAAAATCTGTGAACAATTGTATAAAAATAAGTATAAAAAATGAAAAAAAAATTCTTTAGACGAGTGGTCCGCATACTAAGAAATTAATAAAGTCTCATGAAACTGTGAAAATTAAAATCGTTGATTTGAGCGATTTTGAAGTTTTCGAAATCACTAAAATTCTAAGTGAACACACGCACGATTTTCAGTTTCGAGAAAAAAAATACATATACAAAGAACAAAGACAAAGGCCCGTATTCTCAGGAAACAAAGTGAAAAGTAAAAAAAATTTCAGAATTCATGTTTCTTTTCACATTTCTTTTTTTTTTTAATTATTAATTGGTGAAAAAGGAAAATTATAGGATTCTGCAAAAAAAAAGAAAAAGAAAAAAACTCAAATAAATTACCCATAAAGTGGTCAAAATTACACAAAAAATATATTTTTAAAAATAAAATTCAAAAATAAAATATTTTTAATTAAAAAGGAAAACAAAAATACAGATTTTTAATAAAAGAAAACAAAAAATACAAATTTTTTTAAATAAGAATATTAAAAATTCAGATTTTTTTAAATAAGAATACTAAAAATACAGATTTTCAATAAAAGAAAACAAAAAATACAGATTTTTTTAAATAAGAATACTAAAAATACAGATTTTTTTAAATAAGAATACTAAAAATACAGATTTTTTTAATTAAGAAAACTAAAAATACAAATTAATATTTGTAATTTAAAAAAGAACAAAAATTGATTAGAAAAAAATACAAAAATACAATTATCCTACAAATGCGTAAAATTATCTGTAAAAATAATAAAGAATATGTTTGAAAAAAAAACTAAAAAATTTTCTGAAAGAAGAGGATTAAAATTTCTCAAAAATTTACTGTTTTAAAAAAATAGTAAAAGAAAAAATATAAAAAAACAATTTAAATTTAAATGAAAATATAACAAGTTTTGAAAAAGAAAAGGGAGATTTTTGAAAAAGGGACAATTTTCGAAAGTGAAACTAAACATGTTTTAAAAATTAATTTTAAAAATTAGTTTTAAAAAGAGATAAAATAAATAAAAGAATAAATTATTGTTAAAAAAAATTTAAATTAATTTGTTTTTAAAAAAAAGTGAAAAATAAATACGGAATAAATTAGGAATAAATAAATTATAAATAATACAAATAAGTAGGTTAAATAAATAATTAATAAATATTTAAAAATAATTAATAAATAAAATAGTAATTAATTAATAATAATTCATAACAAAATTGTATTCAAAATAATTAAGAACAAAATGGTAATTAATTAATAATAATTAATAACAAAATTTTATTCAAAATAATTAAGAACAAAATATTAATTAATTAATTAATTAATAATAATTAATAACAAAATGGTAATTTATTCATAATAATTAATAAAAAAAATTAATTATTAATAATAGTTGATAATAATAATTTTTTAATAATTTAATAATTAATAACAATAAATAATAATTAATAACTAATTAATAGTTAATGAAAAATTATGAATAAATATTTAAATATTTAAATATAAATAATAAGTAAATAAAAAATATATTTAAACGAAAAATACAACAAATTAATGCAGATGAAGGAAGAACAGAAATGAAAGAAACAGTGATAGAGAAAGTGGGAAAAGAAGAAAAAAAAAGGGGGGGGGGGGTTTCTAATAAGAAAAGAAGAGCATGCTTTAATGACCAATTCCCAGCCACATTAAAATGAGACTGATTTAGAAGGATGAGAAACGCCAAATCGTCATTTATCTCAACTTTTGTCCATAACCAGCGACATTTTAATATTGACGTTTGAATACGGGCCTTGAAAGTGCAACAGGTAATTTGGATTGGATTTTATAAGAAGAGAGGAATATCAACTATAAGGATTCTTTAATAATATTAATTATTTTACGGTTTTTAAATAAATAAATTTCAGCAAATGAAATTTTGTTCTATTTCTATTTGAGAAAAGTTTAATTAAAACGAATTTTTATTTAGTAAATTTTTTATTCGATTAAATTTTTATTCAATCGAATTATTATTTCAATTAAATTTTTATTCTCTTACATTTTTGTTTAATTGAATTTTATTTATTTTTTATTTTATTTATTATGTTTAATTGTTAATTATTTTTAATTTATTTATTTCATTGAATTTTAATTAAATAGAATTTTTATTGAATAGAATTTTTATTCAATAAAATTTTTATTGACGTGAATTTTTATTGAACCGAATTTTTAAACACAATTTTTTTTTAAACAAATTTGAATTTAAAATTTTTTACTACGGAAATTTTAATTATCTGAAATTTTATTAAAAGCTGAACTTTAATCAAAAGTTTTAATTTATCAAACTTTTTTGAAAAAAATAATGTTAATTAACAAAATAATAAAAAAACAAAAAAAAAATAGGAATTTTTTCAAGAATTTTGGGCCTTAATTGTTGAAGGATTAATTCAGGAGGAGAGGGATATTTTTTTGATATAAAAAATGCATTAAAGTGCGCATTGCGTGTGTTCACTAACCTTTCGCGAACGTTGTTGGCTTGGCGGCGCTCTTTTTCGCGTACCGCTTTGTTGTCAGTATCGTCACAATCTTCATCGGCGCTCGAACAACGATTATTAAAACAAATACGAGGTTAGTTCAAATTGTCATCGTCACATAAATCAAGCAATCGCTATTGTAAGAAAAGCTCATTTTTCCAAATTTGTCAATTTTTACATTTTTTTTTTTTAATTTGTAAAAAAGTTTCCTTATTAAACTTTAATTTTTATTTCAAATTTTTTTAATTTTCTTTTTTAATATTTAACGACAAAAAATATTTCTAGAACTTAAATAATAAATTTTTTAAAGAAATTTTATTATTTAAAGATATTTTTCTTCCCTTTTTTTAAAAATGTTCATTTTTTCCTTTAAAAAAAATTTTTTTTTGTAAATTGTTTCATTAAAACAAAAAAATAAAAAACTAGCAATAAATTTCCTTACGGCGATTACTGTTTATGGAAAAATAGTATATTAAAAAAAAAATCATTCAATGTCATTAAGAGAAATGAATGAGAATGAAATTATGTGGATACTTACTATCTTCGCGATCTCTTTGTTCCTTTTCCTTGGGAGGTGGAATTGACTGTCGCTCCGCCAATGATTCCAGATGACAATTCACTGCTCGAGGGTTTTGTTTCGCCGCCACTACTGTCTGCCGGCTCTTTTCTTTTTTCTAAAGAAATATATTCTGCTGAACAATTAATATCAGAGTTTCATTTCAAAAAAGCAATCATTAGACCTCATATGATAAACAATAAAAAAAATTGCCTCTCAAAATGTGGTCAACGATCAAAAGATATTTTTTTTTTAAATAATATAAAAAAAACCACTTCTCATCTAAAAAATAATTTTTCGAATTTAAAATAATGAAAAATTTATCTCTCTTTGTGAAATTATTATTTTTCATTTTTAAATAATGAAAAAATTCCATTTTTTTTTTTCTTGATATTTTTCAACACTTTTCATCAAAACAAAAAGATTTTTGAAAATTTTATTGAAAATAATAAAATTATTTTGTAAAATTTTATTAAAAATAGATTTAATTTTTACAAAGTTTAAAAAAATAATTGAATTTTTTCGTGAAATTTTATTAAAAATTTCGTTTGAAAATAATAATCCAAGGCCTGTACTTTTAATTTTTTTGTTTCTCTAATTTTTCGATTTCACGATAATGTCCGCAGATTATACGGTTTGATCCACATATTCTATTCGCGGTATAGAGCGTCATCGAACAATCACTTTTTTCCCAAGCGCAAAATCGAAAGAGAAAAATAGAAATTCCAGGTGTTCTTGTCTTATATTCCTCAATGCTGATCATGCGAGAAAGAAGGGAAAATGTCCCGATAAGGGAATATTAGATAAATCACCGCACAACCAAGACATTGCAAACGTTATTGTCATGACACTTGGATAATGTGCTGATAGACGATTTTATAAACCTTCTTATTATTATGCAAAAGTGAATTTTTTTTAAAGTTTCTCGAAGAAATAAAAAAAAAAAAAAAAAATAGATTTCGTCATTTTCTACGGAATATCAGACAAGGGAATGTTGAATATTGAGGGAAATCTGTTTCAAAAAGTGAAGGTTCTGCATCGATTTCATGACGTTCTGTCGAAATATTTGTTTCAAATGATAAATTCCCCCTTTGGCCGCGACAATATTGAGCAAGAATTAATACAAATTCATCCGTTTGTTTGCTAATATGAATAAGTTTTTTTTTTCTTCAAGAATGATTCATATTTGAATGTAAAATAAGTTTAAAATACACTTTCCGGATAGAAATTTCAATTGAATAGAATTTTTTTTATTGTCTGGTATTTTGACAAATGAATTAAAAAATGAATTTAAAAAAAAAAAAAAAAAAAAAATTTTATTGAAAATAATTTTAAAAATTGTTCGCGAGAAACAAAAAAAAATGATTAAATTTAGAGGCAAAGATAGTGGATCTATTTGCGAGTAACGCGACTAATTGTCAAACCGGAACATGCGAAGGCGATTGTTTTTCGGGTCAAGGTAGATGGCGCCACTCGTACGAGGAAAATCCACAAGAGATGAAAATCTCATTCACATCGATTCTAAATGGCTTTTTATCAGTTTCTATAATACTGTTAGAGATTTATTCCATTTAAAGGATCATTAACTGAGAAATTTATTTCTTTTCCTCCATCTCATCTCTCTCTCTCACACAATTTCGATTAATTTATAGAATACTTGCAAATACATTTTTATTTTCAACTTTTAGAGATTTAGCACAGATTACAGTGTTTCTATGAGATTCTTCTCTGATTAAGAGGAATAAATAAAAATTGCCGCTTTAGAGCAAGTAAAAAAAAATTATACAAACAGAAAAAAATTTGAAACGCAAAAATTAATAAATAGTTTATTTATTTTTTTACTTTTATCTTTATTCCTCTTTTTTCTTAGATACCTTTTTTCGAAGCGAGTCACAATTTAAATTTTCAATCTCCGGGTTTTGGAAAAATTCAAATTTCCAAATATTTCAATTTAAAAATTATGCAAAATTCAATTTTTTCTGAAAATTTACACCCAGAATGCTTTCAATATTCAATTATCTAAAATTTTAACTAAATTTTATGAATTGTAAATCAATTACTATTTGAAAATTCTACGAGAATTCAATTATTTAAATACAAATAAAATGCAAAAAAAATAATTTGCTGAATAATTGAATATTTTTCAAAATTGAATTTTCATAAAGAACTTAAACAAATTTTTAAATAATTTGAATTTTTCGAGGAATTTTAATAAAAATTTTTAAGAATAATTACATTTTTCGAGAAATTCGATTAAAATTGTATTAAAAATTATTGACATTCAGCAAAGAGTTTTATTATATATTATAAAAATAATTGAATTCCTAATAGAATTTTATTATTTATGAAAATAATTGAATCTCTGTAAAAAAATTTATTATTTATGAAAATAATGGAATTATTGCGAAGAAATTTATTTTTAAAAAATTAAATAATTGAATTCCAGTGAAATTATTATTTATAAAAAAAATTAAATGTTTACAGGGTGTCTACTATTTTCGTTTAACAAAATTCCCGGTTATTTCCCGGTTTTTCCCGGCTATATCCTAATTTTTTCCCGGTTTTTTTTCTTATCAAATTTAAATTTAAATTTGATTTCAAACATAAATAAATCATTAAATTTTTTGAAAATAATGTTTTTTTCAGTAATTTTAATTAAAAACTTGGAAAATACTTGAATTAAACAAAGAATTTTTTCAAGTTTTTAAAAATAATCTTGTCTCTTTATAATTATAATTGAAAATTGGATTTTTCAATTTTATTAAAATTACATTGATAATAATTGAACTTCTGCAAAGAATTTTACTATTTATAAAAATAATTGAATCCTTCCAAAGAATGCTATTATTTATGAAAATAATTTAATTCTTGTGAAGAATTTTATTAAAATTTTTGAAAATAATAAGCAGCAATAATTAATTCTTTACTTAATATGTAATAAACATTTAATTTGCTCAAGAAATAAATAAATATCATTTATTTGAACATTCAGAAATTTGAAATGATAAAAATTTAAGAGAAGATTAATAATTATAATTATTAAATAATAATAGAATAGTATAATTTTTAGAAGCAAAAAATTGATTTAAAACTGTAAGAGGGACTTTAAATTTCAAAAATAAAATTATAATTATGGTCACTAACTTCCCTTGATTATTTTCGAAAAATTTAAATAAAATTCTTTAAAAGAATTCAATTATTTTTCAAAAAAAGTAAAAAAATTTCAATGATTTGTTTAGAAAAATTCAATTATCTTGAAACAATAGAATTGAAAAATTACAACAATTTTATTTTTTAGACTTAAAAAAAATTTTGCGAAAGTTTAATTTTATTAAACAATTTTAAGTATGTATATTTTTTTAAAATAACTAATAAAAATTTTAATTATTAATCTTCGGAGTAAGAAACATGAATACATTAGAATTTTACTCTTTATAATATTCAATTATTAATCAATTATTAAATTAAAATACTTTGAAAATTCTATTTGTTAAAAAGTTTCTAATGAATTTCTTTAACAAATTTAATTACATATTTTCAGTCGAATTTCACAATATTTCTATTAACTCCATAATTTTTTTAAAATTTATTTACATAATATATTTGAATTGGTAACTGATTTTTTATCATCAAATTAATTATTTTTAACTAACTTAAATTTAGAGAACAGTATAAATATCTATAAAAATTGAAATAAAAATTGATTTTTTAAAAACAAATTAAAATAATAAAACTTTTTTAATTTTTGTGAAAAAATTCCCGGTTCGGTATAAAATTCCCGGCTAATTCCCGGTTTTTCCCGGTCAAATAAAATTCCCGGTTATTTCCCGGTTTTCCCGGAATTCCCGGTTAGTAGACACCCTGGTTTAGGTAGAATTAAATTAAAAATTTTTGTTTAAATAATTTAATTCTTTTGAAAAATTTTATTGAAGTAGTAAATATTAAAAAATTAGAGAAGCGAGGAAAATTTTTTAATATAATGGAAATTTTGTGAGGAATTTTTAAAAATTTTTTGAAAATAATTGAATTTTAGAGAAGAATCTTATTATTTATAAAGATAATTGAAATTTTGAATTTCGTAAAATTTTATTGAAAGTAATTGAATTTTTAAAAAAGAATTTAACTATTCAAAAAAAAAATTAAATTGTTTGGAAGAATTTATTAAAATTTGAGAAAATAATTGAATTTTTTGAAAAATATTATTAAGAAGTTTTTATATATTGAATTCATTCATGAAATTTTATTAAAATTGTATTCAAAATAATTGAATTTTTGCAAATAATTTTACTAACTAAAAAAATTATTCAATTGTTTCAAAGTATTTATTAAAATTTTAGAAAATAATTGAATTCTTTCGTGATATTTTATTGAAAATAACTGAATTTTGGAGAAGAATTTTATTATTTATAAAGATAATTGAAATTTTAACGAAATTTTTTTTTCAAATTTTTCAATATAATTGAATTTCAGCAAGGAATTTTATTACTTTTGAAAATAATTGAAACTTTGACAAGAATTTTTTTAAAAAAATTTCTGAAAATAATTGAATTTCAAAGAAGAATTTTGTAATTTATAAAGATAATTGAAATTTTAATGAGAATTTTTAAAACAATTTTTCTACATAATTGAATTTATGCGAAGAATTTTATTACTTTTGAAAATAATTGATGCCAAGAATTTTATTAAAATTTTTGAAAATAATTGAATTTCAGAGAAGAATTTTGTAATTTATACAAGATAATTGTAATTTTGACGAGAATTTTTTTTAATTTTCCAACATAATAAATATTCATTATTGCCCTAGGGCAATAAAATATACTTTATTGACCGCTCTCAGGTCAATAATCAGTACTTATTATTACCCGAGGGCAATAATGAGTACTTTATTGACCCAGGGTAATAATAAGTTCTTTATTGACCTGTGAGCGGTCAATAAAGTACATTTTATTGCCCTAGGGTAATAATGGGTACTTTATTGACCTGCGAGTACACTTTATTGCCCCAGGGCAATAATGGGCACTTTATTGACCACTGGTCATAAAAATCATTATATTTACGACAATAAATCATGCAATTCCGTAAATTGGCCTAAATTTTAAACTAGTGTCTCTAAATGGTCTAAATTGGAAAAAAGTGTTTTTAAAACACGAATCACCTCGATTAAAGCGAAAATGCGTGAAAGTTGTAAATTTTAAGAGACAGCGAGAAAAAAAAAGAGAGAGAGAGAGAGAGAGCAAATTTGTATAAATTCCTTGACAATGGCTTGTTGTTTATTAATCTGCAAACACTCGTTTGAGTAAAAGTGAGATAGCAATAAGAACAAGTATAAGCGAGCAAACATTATTGTTCCCGGGGCTCACTCTCGTGTGTCCCATTTATGGTTGGACACTTTACAACAGAGTGACTCTCGCAAGTTCCGTTTTGTTCGCCTCCATTTCACAAAATACTTCTTTCTCTCTCTCTCTCTCTATAAATGTGTGTGTACCGTTTCTCAATAATGACAATGGCCGCTCTCTGTAGCCACTTAAAGCTTATCCGCTGACTTGGAAAGAAGCAGAAGAAAAAAAAAAAAAATTACATATAGAAGCGATAGAATGCACAATTTTCCATGAGGCCGATCTCTCCATATAGTTTACATTAGTTTCAGCTAAACTAAATGTCAGTGTTTGCGCTCGTGCTCACAAAACTCTTTTATTTGTCTGGCATATTCGAATGTGTTTGTGTCCTTTAGATAAAAGTATACGCTTTCCTTCTATTCCCGTATATATAAAATGTACATAGATATCTCTCAAAGAGTGTTTGACCATCTATGGACATTGGCATCTTCGTGGGGTGTCTCTCCGCATACGCGTGAATTCTCAAAAGCCTTCTTATATACAATCCCTCTCCCCCGAGTTGTCCTCCACTCTTCGCTTTGTTATCTATTAAAGGCTCTTTACCTTTTACAGCCATTAAGCAAAAGGGGGAAGTCCACATAAAATTGAAACATCAAGTCAAAGATTTTCTTTATTTCACATCACAATCTCTCTCTTTCTCTTTCTGCAAATTTTTTTTTTCTTCTCTCTTCGATTCTATTCTCAATTCAATTCAATTCCAAAGAATTAATTCTACTTTTTATTTTCAATTTTTATAAAAAAAACAATAATTATTAATAATCGTTATTGTATTCCGGTAAATAATCTTTTCCAAGTTTCAAGTTGGTTGTTTGCTTTTTTGTTTTCTAACTTTTTTTTAATCATTTTTTGTTTTTAAATATTTTTAATTCTAAAATTAATGTATTAAAAATCATTCAGTTCTTGCAAAGAACTTTATCAAAAAACATTGAAAATAATTTAATTCATTCGAAGAATTTTATTATTTATGAAAAATAATTGAATATTTAATATTTATAAAAAATAATTGAATTGTGTCGAAGGATTTTTGTTAAAATTTTATTGAAAATAATTGAATTTTTATAAAGAATTTTACTATTTATAAAAAATAATTTAATTCTTCCAAAGGATTTTATTATTTATGAAAATAATTAAATTCTTGCAAAGAATTTTACTATTTAAAAAAATAATTAAATTGTTTTGAAGAATTTATTAAAATTTATTAAAATTTTAGAAAATAATTGAATTTTTACAAAGAATTTTACTATTTATAAAAAATTAATTTAATTCTTTCAGAGAAATTTACTATTTAAAAAAATAATTGAATTGTTTCCAAGGAATTATTAAAATTTTAGAAAATAATTGAATTATTTCGAAGGATTTATTAAATATTTAAAAATAATTGAATTCTTTCGTGAAATTTTAATGGAAATAATATTGAATTTTTTTAAAGAATTTTTATATTTATAAAAATAATTGAATAGTGTCGAGGGATTTATTAAAGTTTTAAAAAATACTTGAATTTTTGAAAAGAATTTTACTATTCAAAAAAATAATTAAAATTGTCTCCAAGGATTTATTCAAATTTCAGAAAATAATTGAATGGTTTCGTTTAATTTTATTTAAAATAATTGACTTTTTGCAAAGAGTTTTACTATTTATGAAAATAATTCAATTTTTTCGTAAAATTTTATTGAAAATAATTGAATTTTTGCAAAAAATTTTACTATTTAAAATAATAATTGAATTCTTCCGAAGAATGTTATTATTTATGAAAATAAATTGAATTCTTGCGAAGAATTTTACTTTTTAAAAAGAATAATTGCATTGTTTCGAAGGATTTATTAAAATTTTAGAAAATAATTGAATTTTTTGCAAAGATTTAAATATTCTGCAGAATAAATTTTGAAAAAGTGAAGTCGAATATTTTGCAAAAAGCATTAAACTAACGAGAAATGTTGACAATAAATTTTTAAAAACTGATAAACAAGGAAATATTTGTTTGAAATACGTAACTGAAATTACTTTTTCCGAAGATTATAAAGTTTTATTGGGAAAAATTTTGCTCAGTCTACACGTTTCGACAATAAATAATATAAACAATAATAAAATTACTCGGTTTTTATAGAAAAATGTATCTTAAAATTTTTGTTTAGAAAAAATTCGTTTTAAATATTTAAGAAAAACTGAAGCAAAAATTGTTTTTATTTATTTACTTGTCCAGCAGGAAAATAAAATAAAAAAAATAAATAATAAACAATAAAAAATAATAAAATAATTAAAAACAAATTTTCAGTGCGTAAAACCTTTTAGAATTGAATTATATTTCTAAAAATTAAAACAACTTTTCCTTTTCTATATAAAAAGAAAGAAAAAATTCACAAAGATGAGAAAATGGAGCATCGCAGAGTTAAAAGTGAATCAAGGCTCTTATAATTCTTCAAAACCTTGGTTAGATGATTTTTTTTCTTTTTTTTTCAAATGTACCCTTCACTAATGCTCGATAGCAGCCCTGGAACGTCTGCAGGATCTCTAGCGAGGTTTTTCTCCATTTGTGTTTCAGTTTAGAATCCATTTTCTATCCTTGAAGGCGAGACGAATGCGATTTACAGGCGGGAAACATTGTCGTTCGAAAAGTTTATATGGAGACTCACTGACTCGGCTTGTTTCCTGATTGTAATTGCAACGGTTACCATATAAGAGTTCCTTCACGGCTTCGTGACTAACCAAAAAAAGACGACGACGACAACGACAACTTTTCATATACCACTCGTGTATAATTATCTTAAAAGAAAATCCTCATAATTCATCACTGCATTTTTGCCTCCAATCAAAATGATTTTTTCCAAACTCATCGCTAGGAAAATTTAATAAATTCAAAAACGAAAAAAATGAAAAAAGAAAAACAAAATTAAAAACAAAAACTTTGAAAATGGAAATATCTTTATCAAATACATTGAAAATATTTGAATTCCTCTGAAGAATTTTATTATTTATGAAAATAATTGAATTGAAAATTAATTGAAATTGTTTCGAAGGATATACAGTAAGAAAAGCTATCCGTCAGTCATAGGAAAGTATGGGAATCGCATAAGTCTGTCTCACTCCCACTCATGGGATATGACTGACGTGCTAGGTTTTCGTACTGTATATTAAAATTTTAGAAAATAATTGAATTCTTTCGTGAAATTTTATTGAAAATACTTGAAATCTTCCAAAGAATGTTATTATTTATGAAAATAATTGAATTCTTGCAAAAAATTTTACTGTTTAACAAAATAATTGAAATTGTTTCGTAAAGGATTTATTAAAATTTTAGAAAATAATTGAATTGTTTCGTTAAATTTTATTTAAAATAATTGAATATTTGCAAAGAATTTTATAAAAAAAAATTGAAAATAATTGAATTCCTTCGAAGAATTTTATTATTTATAAAAATAATTGAATTGTTTCGAAGGATTTATTAAAATTATAGAAAATAATTGAATTCTCTCGTGAAATTTTACTGAAAATAATTGAATTTTTGCAAAAGAATTTTACTTTTCAAAAAAATAATTCAATTTGTTTCAAAGGATTTATTAAATATTTGAAAATAATTCAATTCTTTCGTGAATTTTTTTTTTTGAAAGAAATTTACCATTAAAAAAAATAATTCAATTGTTTCGAAAGGAATGATTAAAATTTTTAAAAATAATTGAATTCTTTCGGAAAATTTTATAACAAATTAAGAAGATAATTGAATTCTTTTGTGAAATTTTATTAGAAATAATTTTACTTTTTCAAAGAATTTTTTTTTATGAAGATAATTGAAATCTTCAAAAGAATTTTTTTTTATGAAAATAATTGAATTTTTAGGAAGAATTTTATTAACATTTTTTTAAAATAATTGAAATTCTTTGACAAAATTTTAGTATTTATAAAAATAATTGAAATCTTGCAAAGATTTTTTTTAAATTTTTAAAAAATTTGTTAAATGAAAATTTAAATTCTTTGGAGAAATTTAACAAAAATTTGTATTCAAAATAATTGAATTTTTAGGAAGAATTTTATTAAAATTTCATTGAAAATAATTGTATTTTTAGGAAGAATTTTATTAAAATTTCATTGAAAATAATTGTATTTTTAGGAAGAATTTTATTAAAATTTTATTAAAAATAATCTAATTCTTTTGGAAAATTTTATACTGATAATAGTTGATTTTTTTGCAAAGATTTTACTATTTTAAAAAATAATTAATTTGTTTTCCAAGGATTTATTAAAATTTTTGTTGAAAATAATTGAATTTTTGCAAAAAATTTTTATTATTTTTAAATAATTAAATTATTTAAAATTGAAAAATCCAAAAAATAAATTGTAAGATAAACTTTTTTTTAAATTAAAAAATAGTTTATCTTACGATTTATTTTTTCGATTTTTCGTTGAATTTTTCTTTTTTTTTCGTTAATTGTCTTGTGAGAAAATAATATTTGTTTTTCGTTTGAAAATTCGTAGATGAGAAGTGATTAATTTAAATATTTTGAAGAAAAATTGAATTGAATACTTACTGGTATTCGTGGCGGGTAGCCTCTCAATTTTGATAGAACCGTCGGTGTCGGGCGTTGGTGCAAGGCCTGGATAAGAACCCGCCGGTTGCGCCACTGTCACCGTTGGATGTGGACTCGTCTAAAAAACGTCAATATCAAAGTTAAATTGACGTCTAATTATCGCAAAATATCATTCAAAGTAAAAAAAAAAAAAACCAAAACCGTAATCGACAAATCATTTTCAATTGACAATTTCAAGAAAGAAAAAGTATTTTTTCTCTCTCGAATTATTGAATTTTTTCACCACAAAATTAAATTCTAAAATATGAAAAAAAAACTCAAAATTTACCGGTAAGAAATTTTTTGTTTTGACAAAAATATAAATTTATTTGTAAACTTAAAAGAATAATATATTTTAAAGAAAGGAAAAAAACAATTTTTTTTCCAAAAAAGTAAATTAAAAAAAAACTGTCCAGAAAGGCAAAAATTATGTTTAAAAAAAATTACTTTGAAAACTGATAATAAAGAAAACAGTAAAAAAAAAATAAATAAAAAGCATGAAAGAATGAATATAAAATCTAAAAATACTTTTTGTTTTTTAAAAATAAAAATTTACCGACAAATAAATAATATCTGCGGATTAGAAATCTTTCTGCATATTAAAATTATATTAATTTAAATTCAAATTTCAAAAATTTATGGTCAAATTCAGTAATTCGAGAGAAATGCAAATTTTAAATTCCAAACGATTTTCAAAGTTTTATAGGTCAGAGAGAAAATTTTGTCAGTGAAATATTTAAATCTAATTTCCATGTCGTATAAATTTTCTTCAAATTTCTAACACACAGAAATAGAAAATTATTCGAACTTGTAAATTGTGGAAAAAAATTACTTGCCAAAAATTCTTTATAATAAAAACTTTTGAATTTCTATTGAAACACATAGAATTTCAATTAAAACTCATAGAAATCTAAAGTAAGAAGTTTTTAAACTTTATACAATTTTTTTTCTATTTTATTTTGCAATTCATTTTCGTTAGGAAAAATCTGTGTTATAAAATCGACCAAAAATAGTATTAAAACTCATAGATTTTTTTTTTGAAACTCATAGATTTTTTTTTAAACTCATAGAACTTTATATTACAAAATTTGTAAGTTTTTCTATTTTATTTTTTTTTAGGTTTTTGCTTTACAATTAATTTGCAGCGCATTTTTGCAAAAAAATTTAAAGAATTCAAAAGAGAAAAAAAATTTAATTACGGACATGAAAAAAGAGAGGAAAAAAAAATCTTACCAAGTGATCGAGTTGCTGCGGTGACGTGTGGGAATATAAGGAACCATGTGGACCTACGGGTGCGAGGTGAAGTGCAATTTGACTCTCGGCGTGATTCCTGAGAACGTTTATGGCATCGTCCAGTCGCTCCTCCATCCGCGTTCCCTGTACCAACAGAATACCGAAACATCGACTCGATTACACACCAGTTATAAACTATCATATTAATATCGTAGACGGTATTTCATTTTTATTCGGAAATTTAAAAAAAAAAAAAAAAAATGCAAGAGAATTTTATTTTTATCCGAAAATCGAAAAGAAAACTTTTAAAAGGCAAAAGAATTTCATTTTTAGTCAAAAATTTAAAAAAAGCAACAGAATTTTATTTTTATTCAAAAATTTAAAAAAAACTAACAAAACAACAGAATTTCATTTTTATTCGAAAATAAAAAAAAATTTTTTTTGAAGAAATATAATTTCATTTTTAGTCAAAAATTAAAAAAAGTAACAGAATTTTATTTTTATTCGAAAATCAAAACAAAAAAAAATAAAAAAGCAACAAAATTTCATTTTTATTCGAAAATCAAATCAAAAAAAAATTTAAAAAGCAACAGAATTTTCTTTTTATTTAAAAATCAAATAGAAAAATAAAAAAAGGAACGGAATTTCATATTTTTATTCGAAAATAATAAAAAATAAATAAAAAGAGCAAAAAATAAAAAAAAACAAAAAAATAAATAAAAATAAAAAAAACATTTTAAAAAATTAACAAAAAAAATTACTGGCAAGAAACGCTTTTACAATTTGCTGTAAAATCTCGCACGATTTGTATAGGTTAAACATTTTTTCTTGGTGCTTGAAAATTAAGTAAATTCATGCATTAAATTTTTTTTTGTGCGTAAGTATTTATAAAATTTCTTGAAAATCTGAAAAGAAGATTATTAAAAAAAAAGGACCAGAATGTTAAAATATCCAATAAAAAAATTTGTCATTTTTTGTTAATTATTGATAAATATGAATTAATCCCCCTTCACCGTTAGTAAAGACTGCGAGAGAGAAAAGATAGGCATCGCACGTTCAACGACGCCAAATGAAATAATAATCTTCAAATATCTGTCTATAGATGATAAAAATAATAATAATAATTATAATAATATAAATTCTTCATCTGTTGTAAAAAAAAAAAATAAAAATAATTATTAACGAATAAAAGAAGAATTGTCGAATATCGCATGAATATTTTCCTGGAGAAATTGCATTTTCCTTTGTTTCTTTGTTATTTTCCCTTTTTCAAAATTTTGCCCTCATTCTTATTTTTTCCTTTTTTCCAAATTTTTTATTTTTCATTTATTCCAATTTTTTCTTTTTCTTTGTTTTAATTTTTCTTTTTTCTTTTTAACTTTTGAAAATTAGGAAAAAATAATAAAATAAATACATTTTCCCAGTTAAAAATAATTAAAAAAAATTGATTTTTAATAAATTTTCCAAACAGAAAAATTTTGCAAAGATTTATTTTTAATTTCTTCGATTTTTTTTAAATAAAAATTAAATCTCAATTTTTAGCATTGAATTTGAAAACGTTTTTCAAAATCGATTGTTGAAAATATTTATCAATTTTTTCAAAATCGATTATTAGAAATATTTTATAATTTTTTTCAAATTCGACTTTTTGGAAAATTTACAATTTTCCCAAAAATCTATTTTTGAAAAAAAGACAAAAATTAAAAAATTAAGAATATTTCGACGTGGAATATTTTAATTGCACTATTTATTCAATAAACATTGAATTGCTTAAAAAAATCTTTCGATTCTTTTCAATTAAGCAAAAAGGAATTTTCCTATTTTCAAATAGGCGAATATTCATGCGTTCTCTGTTTATTTCTCTTTTATTATTTTATAATTATTTTTATTATTATTATTATCATTATTATTATTGTTATGATTATTATCATTGTTGTTGTTGTTGTCGTCGTCGTCGTTCAACGTGCGAAGTAAAATGATTAAAAAAAACATTGAAGAGAAAAAAAAACATGTTTTTTTTTTGTTATTTTAATATTTAAAAAAAATAGGGGAGAGAAAACAAAATTAATCGACGATCCTCACCTCGGCGTGGTCGCGAAGGAAACCAATGGCATCGTCTAACCTCTGCTGTTCGGGCGCCGGCTTCACACACAACACCAACGCAACAACAAAACCAAAAAAAAAGAGAGAGAACAACCAAATCAACACAACGTACACAAACAAGGGTTAAACAATAAAAAAAAGAAAAATAACGAAAAGAAAAAAAAACAGTGCGAAATAATGGCTTGTCACGATTCAGTGGTGAAATGACTAAAGATTTACTGAAAAACAATGATATTAACACAGGGGACGCATGAATATTTTTCAAAATATTTTTAAAAATCAAATTTATATATCATTTTCTTCAATTAAAATTCAAATAATAATTTCTTGTAATTTCTTGTTATTTCTAATAATTTCTAGTAAATTTCTAATAATTTCTAGTAAATTTCTAATAATTTCTAGAAAATTCTAGTAAATTTTCGTTTCGGAGTGAGTCACATTTTTTAGAAATTTTTTAAATAAATCCCCCCCTAAAAAATACCAAAATCGATCGAAAATTTCACCTCCCTGAAGTTAGCGTCGACGCTAAGCGTCCAAAAACAATTTTTTTTCCCCGAAAACAAAAAGATTCACACAATTTTTCCAAAGGTACATTTTTTTTAACCTTCTAGGTGAATAAAATCTAGGTAATTAATAATTAATTATTACCTGGTGAATAAAATTTAGGTAATTAATTAGTGACATTTTTGTCAATGAAAATAACAAAAAAAAAAAATTTTCGACGCTAAAACTCGACGCAAAATTCAGGAATCTAAAATTTGCTGAAAATAAAAATAATAGAAAAATTTTTCTAAGAACCATTACTTTTGTTTCAAAATTCTATTGCAATAAAAAATGAGTAAAATTTACTTCGAACTTTTTAAAGAATTTCCTCCAAAACAGGGTAAAATTTTAATTTCCCAAAAATAACTTTTACTATTTCGGAAAAAAATTCTTTACATAGAAAAATTTACTTCCGAAGTATTAAAATTTTATTCTTTCTGGAAATAATAATTTTGTACCAATAATTTTTAATAAAAAAAAATTTCACAATGTTGGAAAAAAGTTTAAAAAATTTCTCTACAAAAAATAACAGCGTGGAAAGAGAAAAATTTTTTATTTTAAAGATTATTTATATATTATATATTAAATATTATTTTATATTATATTATTTATATAATTTACGGCTTCGAAAAATATTGAATTAAAAAAAAATTCCAATTATTTTAAAAACTCGGAGAAAATAGTATAAAAATGATTTTTAATTTACAGAAAAATCATTGTCTAAAAATTGTTTATAACATTTATATACAAGAAAAATGTTAATAATAAAAAAGAAAAATACAATTTTTCTGGATATATTCATGCGCCCTCTATAGTTGAAAGCAGGACAGACGAAAATTCACTAAAAATCACTAGTTCGAATTTTCCCACTAATTTGAAATTTTACAAAATCAAATATTGTTTTTTCGAATTTTTAAAAACAATTTTTTCAAATAAATTAATTAATGAAAATAAAAATATTTTTTTCAAATTAACAAAATATTCAACGAGTCCTGATATGAAATATTTCGAAATTCCAAAAAATGAAAATTTCCATTTCGAACTAATGATAATTTAGAAAAAAATTCATCCGCCCCAAAGTGATGTTTATGTTAATCGGTTAAAAGTTTAGCTGAACTCGAAATGCGAAACATTGAAGGTTGAACCGTGTTAAAAATGAAGGTCGAAGGTGCGTTTTCAATTATTTACAAAAAAAGTGTCCTTCACCTCACAATAACGTTAAATTTTTATTTCACAATTTTCTTTTACTAAATTTAATGTCGTGATTCGTATTTTTATTATTCACAAGACACAGTACAGTAATAATCATAACATTTTTATTAAAATGATTATTATTATCATTAAAAAGATGAAAAAGATTTATTTATTTAAAATTTTTTTTTAATTTAAAAAATTTTTTTTTAGTATTTTTTTTTATTGATTTTATTTAAATACTTTAATTAATCTGTTCATTAGAATTAATAAAATCGATTAATAACGCCTTTTTTGTATTTAGGCCTTTCCTTCATTTATTTTATTTTACTTTTAATGTAATTTTAAAAAGAAAAAAAATTAAAACAAAAAAAAAAACAAAAAATAGAAAAGAAGAAAGAAAATAAACACGGGGGAATTTAACGATGAAGATTACTGTACATCGTGGTCGTGCGAGAGATTAGTAAAGCAAATCGTGAGAATCCACATACGCACGCAAATCATATCGCAAAAAATTGAAATTCATAAATGGGAATGAAAACAAAAGGCAGTTACGAAATAAAACAAAAAAAAGTAATTAATGAGTGTTTATATTAAAACACAAAAAAAAATAATAATAATAAAACTGCTTGTGCGAGAAAAAACTTTTTTGAATAGAATTTTAAACGAATATTATGTGGAAAAAAAATTAATAATAACTAAAAGAAATTTTTGAGCTTTGTGGTGGAAAAAAAAAATTTCAAACACATACCATGTGAATCGTCCCGCGATTAGGATCTGCCGTAAAATGAGGTGAAACCGGAGCAGCTCCGGGCGCCCAACCGGGCCCCGAACTCGTCAACGGTGGTGGCGAACTCACCGGCGTTGATGGATTACTGCTATAACTCGATACTGATTGGTCCGTGGGGTAGATCTACAAATAATTAACAAAATTAAATCATTTCATTTTTTTGTGGATAATTAAATCATTTCTTTTTTGTGGATTATTAAATTATTTCATTTTTATGGGGAATTTTAGAGTATTTTTTGATTTTTTCAATTTTTTGACCGAATTTTTCCAAGGTAGGAAAAAATATAAAGCGGCATTCGCTTTATAAAAAATGTTTTGACTTAACGTTAAAATAGATTAGTTCTTTCAATTTAGCGTCAATTTACTTTATTCAAGAGGTGATTACAAGTTTCAGTTTATCAATTTCCCTGACAATTAAAAGACGATAAAATTATTTTCCCTGAGAAAAAAAATTCTTTTTACAGGAAAATATGAAAGTTTACGAAAGAAGAGTAAATTTTATGAATTTTAATCATTTTTAAAAATAACAATAATTATAACCCTTTCTGAATTCAATTATTTTCTACAATCTTCAATTTAACTTCATCTCTAAATCAATTATTTTAAATAATTTTCCGAAAGTTCTGGAATAATTCAATTATTTAAATAAAAAACATTATTTTTCTAAAATAATTGTAACTGTCGATGTTTTTTTTAAATTATCAAGATATTATTTTCAAAAAATTGTAATTAAAAAATTCTTACAATTGATTTTTTAAAAATATTTTACAAATATTATTACAAAATACAAATAAATATTTTAAATTTTTTACAATTAAAAAATTTCTAAACCAATTCAAATTTGGTAAAATCTTTGAAAAATAGTTGAATTTTTGGAAAAATATAATTATAAAAATATAAAATAATCAAAATTTTTGAAGAATTTTAATTATAAACATGATTATAATTTCTCCATAATTTTAATAAGTCCAAAAAAGTAAATTCTTATAAATTTTTATTTAAATTGTTCAAAAATAATTGAATCTTAAAAAATATGATAGAAGAATTCTATAAGAATTATTTTTTATATTTATTTTAATGTAATTTTTCGAAAATAATTGAATTTCTTAAAAAAAATTTTGGTATAATTTAAAAAAATTAATTTTTTGGTGAATTTTAATTAAAAATTTCGAACATAATTTTTTTTCTCTAGAATGTTAAAAATAATTCTAAAATTTTAGTATTTTTTTGTATGTATTTGAATTTTTGGAAATGTGTAATTTAAAGTATACAGAAAATATTTCATTGTAACAAAATTAGAAGTTAATTTTGAATTAAGTTTCATTTTTAAATTTACATTTACAGATTTTTTTATTAAAATATTTGAAAATCATTTTTGAAAATAATTATTTAAAAATAATTTTTGCGAAAAATTTATAGTTTTTGAATGATATACAATTGAAAAGTTTCCAAACCAATTCAAATTTGGTAAAATCTTTTTAAAATAATTGAATTTTTGGGAAAAATATATATATAAATAAAAATATAAAATAATCAATTTTTTGAAAAATTTTAAATTGTAAATATGATCATAATTTCTCTATAATTTTATGAAAGTCCAACAAGTATATTTTTATAAATTTTTATTCACATTGTTCAAAGATAATTGAATCTAAAAAAATTTGATAGAAGAATTCTACAAGTATTAGTTTTTAAAATTATTTCAATGTAATTTTTCGAAAATAATTGAATTTCTTAAAAAAATTTTTGTAATAATTTAATAAAAAAACTAGTTAATCTTATGATGAATTCAGAATTTTAATTGAAAATTTTGAACACGATTTTTCTTCTCTAAAATATTAAAAATAATTTTAAAATTTTAGTATTCTTTTTGTATGTATTTGAATTTACGAAAATAATCATGTATACTTACTGCAAATATTTAATTTTTTAAAAATTAGAAACCAAATTTAATTTTCAATTTTAAATTTACATCTATACAGAATGTTTATTAAAATTTTTCGAAAATTCAATTATTTCGACGAAATTTGCAATTAAAATTCTTCAAAAGTTGATTTACAAAATATTTTTAAAAAACAAGTTATTTTCGATTAAATTTGACAAAATTTTAATTATTCCAAAAGATTTTTATTTGTAGATATATTTAAAAAATTTCAATATCTTAAAAAATGATTCGAAAATAATTTTTTCCCGGACAAAAAATTGTTTTCGTCAATTCAGGCTTCACAGTGCCCCTAAAAAATTTATTAGGACAAATAGGGGACTTTTAGGGGACTATAAAAATTGTTTAAATAAAGTTAAAAATATAATTTATTTATAAGAACACAAACTTTAGTATAATTTTGAAATACTTGTTTTCATCAAAATACTGACTTTACTTTTATAAATTTCATGAAAAATTTCATCGATCATAAATTTTAAGATTTGAAACTTTCAAAACGAAAGTTTTAACTGTATTTTGTTAAATTTGGTGTGAATTCATCATTAAACGATAAAAGAAAAAAATAGGGGAACTTTAGGGATAATTTCCAAAATAGGGTACGTTTAGGGGTCAAAATTAAATAGGGGCGACTTTTAGGCAAATAGAGACTGTGAAGCCTGTGTCATTTGGACTTTTCCAAAAAGAAACCACATTCTAGAGCAGAAAAAATTTGTATACTTTTAACTTTTACTTTTTTCAACTTTTTTTTTTTTACTTCGGCAAATTTGTTTAAAGTGTAAAGGTAAAGTAAACTGACGAGTTTACATATATCTATAAGCCAGATATTTTCAGAAATGAACCCCCACAATGGGAACAGTTACTCAAACACTCTGTCGTTGCTTCAACTTATCGCTAAAAATCATCGGAGTAGTTGCTACCAAACCGAATGATTTGACGATTATTTTTTTGATGATCATTATCATCAAAAGTCGTTAGCAAAAGAAAGAGTAGTATTAAATGATCTGTCTGGAAAAAATGTAATATTTTAATTGTTAGTGAATGCGGTGATAAGAAGATGAAAAAGAGAAATCCTAATACTTACTCGGGGTGTGCTCACAACGGATGTAAGGGTTTTGCCGAGATTATCGGCAGCGGAGGGTTGATTGGCGGTGGGTGCACTGGGTGCGGAAGACGGTGCACCTGGTGCCGGTGCACTGGGACTATGGCTATATTGCAACGATGCCGGTGATGCGGTACCAGTTCCACTGTTCGTTGCGACCGCTCCACTTCCACGGAACGTCGACATTGGCGGCAACGACGGTGCACTCGTCACTGCTGAACCAAGAATTGGCGCCGGTGGTTCGCCATTCGGCGACATTGCCGAGTAAGCCTGAAAATAAAAAGAAAAAATGGTATCAATATTCACATCATCCAAGGACCCCAATGGAGAATTTTAATTCCAAAAACAAATTAAATTGTGACATGTAATTCCAATTGGGGTCCCGATCGGGACCCTGAATGGAATTTGGTCACTATTCGTAGATTTTGTTCCAAAACAATTAAATTGTGACCCAATGTCCAATTAGGGTCCCCGGGGACCCTAATTGGTCATAGGGTCACAATTTAATTGTTTTCGAATGAAATCGACGAATTGTTTTTCTTTTACTATAATACCTGTTTTAAAAAGACTAAAATAATAAAAACGAATGCTGGCGGAATTTTTAAAACACTTTTCCGTTTATGATGAAACTGGCGAGAGGGCTACTCCCTCGTTACGGTATCACGTTTACGAGGGAAGATTCGCGCGCAGGGAAGAAGCGTAAAGTTTGAACCAAAAAAAAAAAAAAAAAAAAAAAAAAACAGAAGCAGAAAAAGAAGAGAACGTCCAAGCTGGGGGAAAAATAAATAAACGCTCGTGGGAGGATCGTAAACGTTATCTCTCTCGTTGGGTCTAAAGAAATGCTCGAATGTTCCGCTCTCGGTTTTCCACCAGTGGCTTTATTACTAAACTGATCGTTTAAAATCCGCTGCCCTACCATGTGTGCGGACCTTGACACTAAACACTCGAAATCGAAGAAAACGCCTCTTTCTCATCACAAAGAATTTCACAATTTTCTCGTCATCCACTATAAACAATTGAAAGCAGCAAGAAACAATAAAAAAATCACAATTTTGAAAAGAAAAAATTGATTTTCCATAAAAAATAGTTAAAATCAAAAAAATAGAGTCTGTTCGTGCACTTGACTGAAAGCCACGCTGGAAGGCACGCTGGAAGCCTCGTTGGAAGCTGTATCAAGTAGCGGGAGGGTAATTCTATATATAGACGACGAGAGGATCGTTCAGTGAGTCATTTTGACGTACAAACTTCTGTCAACAGTGACTCTCAATATAGTGTACACACTTATATAGTGGCGAACCCGCAAAAGTGCAAATAAGAACACGCGAAAGAATCGGCGGCACCAGCTGGCAAACCATCGGATCGCACCAAGCGAAGGCCAAGGATCCGGGGGATAACGGGATTCCATTCAACATATACACAGCCAACGTCCCATGAGATTTAGTTTGCCCTGTGCGAATTTTAATCTTTTAGCAACTAACCGCCTGATTTATCGTTCAGGATAAACTGCATTAATCGATTTTTGTAGAAGATTTTTCTAAATATTTTTCGACAAATAGAATTTCTTTTGTAAATTAATATGGATTATTTCAGATGATTTTTCTTTTTTTTTCCCAAACACAACTTCATTTTATCAAAAATGGAAAAAAGCAGCTTATGTGCCGCTGTAACATTAATAAATAAATAAATCTACAAATGGCTTCAAAAATTTTGTATTTAAGTTTTTTAGGAATAATTAAATTCTTTTGACGAGTTTCTTTATAAATTTTTCAAAAATAATATTTTTTTTTAATCAATTTAATTGAAAATTAGGAAAATAATTGAATTAAACAAAGAATTTTTTCAATTTTTTTAAAAATAATCTTGTTACAAAGAATTTTGTCAAAGAACTTGATAATCAATTTTATTAACAAACTTTTTGATTTCCTCGAAGAATTTTATTAATTTAGAAAAATAATTAAATTCTCGCGAAGAATTTTGTTAAAATTTTTCAAAAATCCTAACTAAATTCCTTTGGAGAATGTCTTAAAGTTTTTTTTTTAAATAATGTAGTTTTTTGAATAGTTTTAAATGAAAATAATAAAAAATAGAAAATAATTGAATTTCTTTTATGAAATGTTATTAAAATTGTATTAAATATAATTGAATTTCTGAAAAGAATTTTACTATTTATAAAAGTAATTAAATCATTCCAAAGAATTTTATAAAATTTTTAGAAAATTGAATTGTGGGGAACATAAAGATAATTGGAATTTTGAGGAGAATTTAAAAAAATTTTTAAACATAGGTAATTGAATTTTAGCCGAAGAATTTTATTACTTTTAAAAATAATTGAATTGTTTGTTTAGAATTTTATAAAAAAATTTATGAAAATAATGCAAAATAGAAAATTTTTTATTTTCAAATATGAATTTTTGAAAAATTTCTGATTCAAAATTAAAAAGAAAAATTCAATTAATAACTAATTTACTGATTAATTTATTCTTGTTTATTTATGTAAAAATTTTAAATAAAATTCTTCGGAAGAATTCAATTATTTTCATAAATAATCACATTTTTCGTAAGAATTCAATTATTTTTATAAATAGTAAACTTTTTTGAAAAAAATTCAATTATTTTTAAACAAAATTTTAATAAAATTTCAAAAACGAATAGAATTATTTTCTAAAATTTAAATAACTCCTTCGAAATAATTCAATTACTTTTTTAAATAGTAAAATCTCTGCAAAAATTTAATTATTTTCAAAAAAAAATTTCATGAAAGAATTCAATTTTTTTTGCTTAAAAAAAAATGTCAAAAGAATTCAATTATTTTCTGAAATTTTAATAAATCTTTCGAAACAATTAAATTTTAGTTATAAATAGTAAATTTTTTTGCAAAAATTCAAGTGTTTTTAATACAATTTTAATAAAATTTCTTAAGAAATTCAATTATTTTCTAAATTTTCAATTAAAATTATTCAAAAAACTACATTATTTAAAAAAAAATCTTTAAAAAATTCTTCAATGGAATTCAATTAGGATTTTTAAAAATTTTCAACAAAAGTCTTCGTGAGAATTCAATTATTTTCCTAAATAATAAAATTCTTCGAAGAAATAAAAAAATTTGATAATAATTTAATAATTAAATCTTAAAAAATTATGATAAAAAAAATTCTAAGAATTAAGTAGTTTTTAAAATTATTTTAATGTAATTTTTCGAAAAAAATTGAATTTCTTAAAAAGTTTTTGTATTATATATTTAAGAAAATCTAATTAATTTTTTGATGAATTTTAATGAAATGAATATGATTTTTTCTCCAAAATGTTAAAAATAATTCTAAAATGTTAGTATTTTTTGTATATATGTATTTGAATTTTCAGAAATATGTAATTGAAAGTACTAAAAATACTAAATTTTAAAAAAATTAGAAGCTAATTTAAATTAAATTTCATTTTTAAATTTATATTTACAACTTTGTCATGAAAATTTTTGAAAATTCAATTATTTTCGCAAAATTTGCAATTAAAATTCTTCAATAGTTGACTTTCAAAAGTTTTAACAAAATATTTTTAAAAGAATTAATTATTTTCAATTCATTTTTGAATCAATTTTTTTATGTTTAAATAATTTTTTAATAATTTATAGGTTTTGAATTATATACAATTGAAAAATTACCAAACAATTGAAATTTGTTAAAAATCTTTTAAAAATAATTGAATTTTTTGAAAAATAGAAATAAAAATAAAAAATAATCAAATTTTTGAAGAATTTTAATTACAAATATGATCATAATTCCTCCATAATTTTAATAAGTCTAAAAAAAGAAAATTTCTATCAATTTTGATTTATTTTGTTCAAAGATAATTGAATCTTAAAAAATATAGAAGAATTCTATAAGAATTAATTAACTAATAATAAATAACTAATTATTAAAATTCTTTTAATGTAATTTTTCGAAAATAATTGAATTTATTGAAAGAATTTTTGTTAGAAGCTAATTTGAATTAAGTTTCATTTTTAAATTTACATTTATAGATTTTTCATTAAAATTTTTAATAAATCAATTTTTTTCGCTAAATTTTGCCATTAAAATTCTTTAAAAGTTGATTTTGAAAAATTGTAACTCAAAATATTTGGAAAAATTAATTATTTTAGAAAATTATATGAAAAATATTTGAAAAAAATTTATTATTTTAAAAAATTGTAACAAATTATTTCAAAAAAAAAAATTAATTATTTTCAATTAAATCTTACAAGATTTCAATTATTCAGAAAAAATTTTTATTACAGATATATTAAAAAAATTTAATTATCTTAAAAATTGATTCAAAAATATTTCGGTAAATTTTTTTTCAAGTGAATGGGTAAAGTAAACTAAATAGTTTACATATTTATAAGCCAGATATTTTCAAAAATGATACTCCACAATTGGAATGAATTTTTTTTTCACAAATAAATTTTAATTTGTTTTTAAAAATTTTTTAAATTAAAATTTAACAATTAAAATTAAAAAATTAAAATTTAACAAATAAAATTAAAAAATTAAAATTTTAAAAACAAAATTTGAAAATTAAAATTTAACAATTAAAGTTTAATAATTAAAATTTAAAAATTGAAATTAAAAAATGAAATTAAAACGTACCATTTGGTCGTGGGGTAAATGCATAGGATACGCCGGTTGGGTCAGGTGGGGTGGGCCATATCCGCTGTAGGGTGGTTGAACTCCGCCGCCTCCGCCTGTCCAAGGATCCCCAGGACCAGTTCCCGCAGCATTCCCATCTGGAAAAAAAGAAGAAAACCAAAAGTCAACATTTAATCTCCATTTATCGATTGACGGTAATTCTAATTTTATGATTCAATAAAGCGCATCATCTCCTTTTTGTGTTTGTTTTCTCTCTGACTCTCTAAATGAATCCAATTGTGGGCTCCCTTTTGTTATACGTAATTCTCTCCGCTGTCAAGAGTAGTATCGTACCGCGAGGGAAAGAGAGAGAAAAAAAGAAAAAAGAAACGAACGGTGAAAAGCACGTGCCGTTCACTGACCGTGGAATGCGCTGCACGTGCTCAATGCTCTGCTAAATCGACAACTAAACAGAGTTCCGAAAGGCACTTATTTTACATGTCACCCCACTCGATACTGATCAATTAACAAAAAAAAAACAAAAAAATTAAAAAAAAGTTAACATTAACCCCAACAAAAAAATTACCAAAAAATCTCGCCAACTTTAAAAAAAACTCAATTAACAAAAAAAAAAAAGAAAATTAACATTAACCCCAACAAAAAAATTACCAAAAAATCTCGCCAACTTAAAAAAAACTCAATTAACAAAAAAAAAATTAACATTAACCCCAACAAAAAAATTACCAACAAATTTTTTTTTCAAGCAGAAAAAATAATTTTATCTTTTTTCTGATTGGCTCTAGAAAAAACAAAAAAATCATTTCATGAGTCATAAGACTCGCACAAAAAAAAACTATCGCGAGTTAATAAAAAAAAACTGCTATTAATTTTCGAAAAAAATAACTTTCGGGCTTTAAAAAAAAAACTGCCACTGATTTACGATTTTTACTCTCCTCGAGACTTTATCGATAGGAACAAAAAATAGAATCCAAGAGTCGTAATTCCGCTTGAAAAGAACGGCAATAACTTTCATGTATTTCTTTAATACTTTGCTCTCAATATAATTTTTTTCCATTTTTTCCCCTGAAAAACATTGCGAGTCAAGAATTTTATTTTGTATTTAAAAATAATTTTTCGAAGAAAACTATTTTTCGTCTATAAAAAGAAAAAGGCAGTTTCTTTTTCCATTTGTGAAAATAGGGATGAAATATTTTTCTTCATATTCTCTCTCTCTCTCTTTCTTGGTTAGAGACTTTTTCGCGACCTTTTTTTTTTCGTTTTCAAAGGGGGAAAAGAGGGAGATGTTTCTTTTTATTGTACACAAAAAATAGGGGGAAAGAATCGATTATCGAGAATCGCGAATATTGATCCGTAAGGACGACTACGACGACGACGACGTTTTCTTAGTCCTGCGCATTTAATCTATCGACGAATCCCTTTGTCAGAGCACTTTTACGGACGATGGAACTTTCTCCAATTTCCTAAACTCTTTCATCCCTTTTCTCTATTCTATTCTCTCTCTCTCCTGACCCTTTGGATTCGATTCGATCACATTCATCTAACGCTCAAGGAGATGAAGCATGAAAAGAAAAGTGAAAAAAAGAAAATTTCCCTCTTCCGGAAATACTCGAGATATAAAGAAAAACGGAAAAAAAGATCATCGACCGCAATTTTTAAGAATCCTTATTTTTATTTTTGAATCTTTAAGCTAAAATTTCATCGAGATTTAAATAGAGAGAAAGAAAATTTTTTCGAGAATTAAAAATTAACTTACCGATATAGTAGGAATCCGCGTAAAGTGCGGCAGCCTTTGGTGAAGTGTATCTCGGAGAATCCTGTCCGAATTCATCAGAGCCATACTGTAACAAAAAAAAGGCAAAAGGAAAATTATTAACAATTTATTAAAAACAAGATAATTAATAATTAATAAATTATATGATTTTAATTATAAATATAAAAAGTATCAAAAGTATCAAAAGTATAAAAATATAAAAGTATAAAACTATAATATAAAAGTATAAAAATATAAAAAGTATAAAATTTTATATAAAAGTATAAAAATTGACACATTGCTTTTTTTTCCTCGACATTTATCCCAAAAAAGATAGTTCTTAAATCTAAGCGAAAAAACTGACGTTTAAACCAATTCTTTGATATTTTGTATCAGAAATTCAAAATTCAAGATGGCGGATCCAAAATGGCGGTTATTTCATGATTAGATCAGTTTTGGAAATTAAACGAATATTTTTTATTTATATTTTCTGAAAAGTGTACAAAATTGTACGGAATGACCCACAAATTTTTTCATTTTTTTTTTGGTCATTCGACGCGAATTTTCCCTCTTTGTTAACGAATTTTAAATTTTCATTATTAAAAGTTGTATTCATCGACTGGAACATAATTCTCAAGTTTCTCAGCAGTTCGTCAAATTGGAAGTTTTTTAGGGTCACTGATTACGAATTCAACTTCTGCTTTTCAAAATTCAAAAAATGGTGGATCCAATTTGGCGAATCCAATATTAAAATTATTTTCAAAGTATAAATTTTCGAAAATTTAAATTTGAAATCATCTGAAATTTAAGAATTTTTAAAGAATTCCAACTATAACATTCTTTCTATATTGAATTATTTTCTAAAATTTTTAACTAATTCTGTTGTCGAATCGAAAGGAAATTGATTTTAAAAATTATTTTCTGTTTATTTCGCGATTAGAAGAGTTTTGGAAACTAAAAGAGAGGTTTTTATTTATATTGTCTGAAAAGTGTGTAAAATTGTACGAAATGACCTGCAAAATTTTTGATTTTTTTGGGTTATTCCACACGAATTTTCCCACTCTGTAAGCTAATTTTTAATTTTCATTAATAAAAGTTGTATTCATCGCCTGGAACATAATTCTCAAGTTACTCAGCAGTTCGTCAATTCATTTAGAAATTATAAGCGTTTTTTTTATTTTTTTTGGGGTCATTCCAAGCAAATTTTATCATTTTTTTTACCTACCTTTCAGTTTTCATTACTGAAAGTTGTATACTAATATTGAATTATTTTCTAAAAATTTTTATTACAATTCTTCAACTTTAAATTAATTATATTTTTAAAAATTCAAAATGGCGGATCCAATATGGCGAACTTTTTTGTAAAAATTCTTCGAATTTAGTTCAAAATTAGTATCTAGGGGTTTTTTAGGTCGCTGATTACGAATTCAAGGTCCGTTTTTAAAAATTCAAAATGGCGGATCCAATATAGCGGACTTTTTTAAAAAAATTAAACCAATTCGGTTAAAACTTAGTATCCAGGGGTTTTTAGGGTCACTGATTACGAATTCAACGTCTGTTTTTAAAAATTCAAAATGGCGGATCCAATATGGCGAACTTTTTTTAAAAAATTGTTCGAATTCAGTTTAAACTCAGTATCTAGGGGTTTTTTAGGTCGCTGATTACGAATTCAAGGTCCGTTTTTAAAAATTCAAAATGGCGGATCCAATATAGCGGACTTTTTTAAAAAAATTAAACCAATTCGGTTAAAACTTAGTATCCAGGGGTTTTTAGGGTCACTGATTACGAATTCAACGTCTGTTTTTAAAAATTCAAAATGGCGGATCCAATATGGCGAACTTTTTTTAAAAAATTGTTCGAATTCAGTTTAAACTCAGTATCTAGGGGTTTTTTAGGTCGCTGATTACGAATTCAAGGTCCGTTTTTAAAAATTCAAAATGGCGGATCCAATATAGCGGACTTTTTTAAAAAAATTAAACCAATTCGGTTAAAACTTAGTATCCAGGGGTTTTTAGGGTCACTGATTACGAATTCAACGTCTGTTTTTAAAAATTCAAAATGGCGGATCCAATATGGCGAACTTTTTTTAAAAAATTGTTCGAATTCAGTTTAAACTCAGTATCTAGAGGTTTTTAAGGTCGCTGATTACGAATACAGTGTTCAAATTGAAAATAATTAATTATTAAAATGTAAGAAATAAATTTTTTTTTCAAATAACGTATTTCGTTTTGATAAAATTGCGATTGATAAAGTCTCAATTATTTGACTAAATACATAACGTTTAGTTTGCGGTTTCAAGAGTATATTTGACTAGTTCAAGGGTGTGTAATGTTTCAATGAGACGAGAATTCCAAACCTACCCCCCACCCCTCTCTTCTCTCTCTATTCTTCCCACCACCATCTCCAATTGGGTTGTTTTCCTTCACACGTGTTTGTGGCACGTGTCGGATTGATTGTCGACAATCTCTGGTATGGATTTTTCTCTCGTTTTTCACTCCCCCATTTGAAAGCGCGCGTTTACTCTGTAATTAGAGCACTCTCGAATTTACCAGAAGATGAGTATCGTGTGTGTCGGTAATTCTCCAAAAAAAAAAAAACAAATATGTAAAAAACATTTTTTTTCACACGGAAAAAAAATAAATTTTTAAATTGAAAGGGAATTTTTTTTTCGATATTTTTTTTTCCTCTCAGAAATAAAAAATAATTGTTTTAATTTTTTTTTTTTTGAATAAAGAAAGAAAAGAGAAGTTTCGTCAATGTAAATATTTAATTCATCGCTTTTGTACTTGATCCGGCGTCTCTCTTTTGAATATTGCCTTTTCAATAAATATGGAAATTAACTATAACATTGCTGATAAGGATATAAAAGAGACCTCGAGGCAAACAAAAGGAGAGTTATTAAGAAAAAATTGTCTTTTTCTCAATTCTTAATAATTACATTTATTTGAATAATATATTTTTGCATTTTAATTAATGATAAAAAAAATTATATATAAACAGGAATTTTTATATTATGTATAAAAATTACATTTTATTTCAATTTGTATAACATTTTTTGGAAAAATATTTCTTTTCAAAAGATTATTAAAGAGCACGTAATAAAAATATAAAGATTATAAAAACTATAAATATAATATAAAATTATTATTATTATTTTTATTACATAAAACATTAAGATTAATATAAAGATTACGTGAATTTTATTTTTCAAAAATAAAAAACAGAAATATTTTTTAATGAAAAAATGATATTTTTGTTTTCATAAATATTTGTATATAATTTTTTTTTTAGTAAATAAATTTCTAAAATGACATCAAAGATGATGATGATGATGATGATGATGGCAGTATAGTGAGTCGTTAAAGTTTAGTGAGATAATTGTTCCATTTTAATTTAATGACCCTGTTATGCATCCAGCGCGTTTCATGTTCTCCTGGTATAATCTAAAGCGAAACTAACAAATCATTTTTAAACAAGGACAATCGTTAGAGACAATAATATTCTAATATAAATATTTTTTTTATTCCATTTAAAATGAGAAAAAAAATATCCGAGTTTTTATTTATATTTTCTGAAAAGTGTATAAATTTGTACGGAATGACCCGAAAATTTTTTTGATTTTTTTGGGTCATTCCACGCGAATTGTCCCACATTTTTACCTAATTTTTAATATTCATTACTAAAAGTTGTATTCATCGCCTGGAACATAATTCTCAGCAGTAAAACGAATTTCTCAGCAGTTGGTCAATTCGTTTAGAAGTTATAAGCGTTTTTTGATTTTTTTGATTTTTTTGGGTCATTCCAAGCAAATTTTACCACTTTTTATTATCTAATTTTTAGTTTTCATTACTAAAAGTTGTATTCTAATATTGAATTATTTTCTGAAAATTTTTAACTAAAATTCTTCAACTTCAAATTAATTATATTTTTATAATAATTTTCAGAAATTTATTTCCGAATTTAATATTATTTAAATACGAAAATTGAATTTTTCATTCTATAAAACTCGCAAACTGTAATATTTAAAAAATAAACTTTTTAAAATGAAAAAGGAAATTCAAAGAAAATTTGACATTTTCAATATATATTTTCATAGGACAAAAATAACTTGAATTTTTGTAGGATTTCTAGAAATTTGATATTTTTCTACTGCACTTTGAGAATAAAATTCTGTAAAATTTTGTGATATCCCTGACCTGTGACAACTCTGTTGTAGAGTTGAAAATAATAAAAATGTTAAATAAGAAAAAGACCAAAGCAAAAGTAAATTTCAAAAACAAGATTTTATTAATAATTAGTGATTTTTTACGAATAATTAGTAACTTTCTACCAATAATTTGTAATTATCTTCTTAAATTATTAGCTACTAATAATTATCAAATTTCTACTAAAAATTGGTTATTTTTTCTAAAAAAAAATTTTTTTTAAAATAAAAATAGTTATTTTTTTCTAAAAATCAGTTAATTTCGAACTAAAAATTTGTTATTTTTTACTGATTATTAGTTATTTTCTACTAATAATTAGTAATTTTTTTTTACTAAAAATTTGTAATGTTCTACAAATTATTAGTCATTTTCTTACTAATAATTAGTTATTTTTAGCTAATAATTAGTTATTTTCTACTAATAATTAGTTATTTTTTGCTAATAATCATTTACTTTCTAATAATAATTATTAATTTTCTACTAATATTTGTAAATTTTCTTATGAAAATTTATATTCTACTAATAATTATTAGTTATTTTCTCTAAATAATTTTTTTTTTTAATTAAAATATCTCAGGAGCCAAAATTTTAATAATATCAAAGTATAAAAAATAAAAATACCATTTTATAATTTGTATAGTCTGTAGGACTGACGAACATGATGTGAGTTTGTATTTTGTCGAATGTGGAGAAATGTGGCAACAGTGCGCGAATTCAGCTACCGTCGGACTGAGGATGATGCGAGCAACACACGCACGCACTTGGGAAAAGATCGTCGACACCACACACAACACACCAACTCTGAACGAACGAAGAAAAGTAGGCGGAGTGAGACAGAGAAGTCACCAGAGGCCACGCGCTTCTCAGCTGGTCATCATTTTCA